TCAAAATACAGCTACACATGGAGCTGTAAGTTTCCTCCCATTTCCTCCCTATATGCAGGTACCCCCGACTCTTATCCAGGGCTCTCTGAAGAACCATCCACCAATGGAAATTACACCCCATTGCACTTTAACTCCATTGCATTTTAACTCATCTCCCTTGCCAGTCTTCTCAAGATGAAACATTTCTATTTCATTTTTCTTCATAGAAATTATGTATTCTATTACACACCATCTCTTTGGACCATTAAACTAGAAGGACCTCTCCTGTCTCTCTCCCCCCCCCCCCCGTTTGCTTAGCTGAGTTACCTGAATCAAAGCTGGGAAAACGTTCTTCCTGAAGTATAAGTATCATCAAGATAACAAAACGTTGTCACAGTTTTTCTGTTGGTGCCATAATCCGTGTCCAAATTTCAACATTTTTTAAAAGAGTTTTGGATAGTTTTGATTTAGATGTTTGGATATTGGTTTTAGGGATTTGATAGAAGCAAAGTATATGGAAACTCAGTTTTAAAATGTTTTCAAGATAAGATCATAGGGAAACAAGTTTTGGACTTTGCTCTTTCTTTTGTTTGTGTCTACAAAAATGTCTTCAAACATAATTGGAGTTTGGGATTTGAAAGTTCAAAGTTGATAGTATTGCAAGCAATAGATAACTAACATCCCTCTCAGTGATTGGGGAGTTCCGGATACCTTGTGGTTGGAAGGAACACCTGTCATTCATTCCTCTGCCCTCCCCCAATCCTGGAGTTTTACTGGGAAATAGAAACTAAATGAAGCAATTTATGGAGATGCTGTTCTGTCTCCCTCTAGTGTTTGACACAGTACCACAAAATCTGTCCAAAGCAATGATCCAGTTCAAGGATTCAGCATCTTTATTGTACAAACAATAAAGCTACAGTAGGAAATAGTGTCTGCAGCTACAGTAGGAAATAGTGTCACTGTTTCCACAATTTCTAAAATTTTAAATGATGGCAAAAATAATTATTCATGGCTAGATGGCACCTGATCAAAGATGCATTTCAATGCTTTCCATCTCATTTTAAAAGCAAATAACAAGCAAACCCGCATTCTAACGTTCACACAAAAATCCTTATCAAACAAAAAACTAGATTGCTTTGCACACTTTTATGAAAGTTCCTCTCTTTCCCCTCCCACGTGACTTTACCAGGGCTTACTTCTGAGTAAACGTGTAAAGAAAAACTTTTAAAACTGAAAAACGAAACGTTCTGACGTCGATAGTGGCGACAGCTATATTCAGACATGCACTTACTTAGCTGGACGCGTCGTAACGCACCTCAGCAGGAGTTCTGGAAAAAGAAACTGAAACCTGGCCTATGGGACAAAGAGTAGGCATAACGGGAATGCAATTCGCTTTATTAAATGGAGGCTCCCCGTGGGCTGCAGATGCCCGGGATCCGCTCCCTTCCCCGACTCCCACGCCATCCGTCAATCACAATCCGCCCTACCGTGTGATTTCGACAAGATTCCCAGCGCTTTGCGGCCACCTGGATGGTTTGGTTCGCTCTCTGCAAGGGGGACAATGTGTCTCCATCCGGCCAGGCCTCCCCTTCTCGATGAATTACGAAGTGCGCTAGTCCGGCCGCTAAAATGAAGATGATCGCAAACTCGGCTGTGGAAAGAGCGGCCCACGCCTTCCAATTATCCCAGCGGAATCCGGGCTGGCCTCCTCCTTCTCCTCCTGCCGTGGCCATGGCTGGCGGGGGTGGCCGATCCCCGGCGGTCCCTTTCGCCAACCGCGGGACTGGAACGGAACCCTTCAGCCAACAGAGGAGGGAAAAAAAATACAGATTAAAAAGCACCAGCTTTTGGGAGGGCTTCTAAACAGCAGACCTTGACGCTAGGGAACCGAGGGCATCCGTCGTGAAGCCATTCCGCCTTTTCATCCCGGTTGGGTTTTATATCGGTCTTCCGATAGGCAAGAGAGAGAAGAGGCGGACATTGTAAGGCATGTTATACCTTGACCCCAAGAAACATCCCCCCCCCCCTGCAAATTGCCAAGTTTGGGGCAAGGCGGTAGAATCAGGACAAAAAAAAAACCAAGAAGGGACACTGAAAATCCTGACATGGGGGTACAAGCGGCGACAGGACCCGACCCGCTAGAGCAGCTCTCCGCCTCCGAGGTCGTTCGCAAACAGCAGGAGAAGGAAAAGGCTTCCCGGGGCGCGCCTGTAGAAGTGGACTTTGACTTCCGTTCTCTTCCCAGCGCCTCGGGTCTCCGCGCCCCCTGCAACTTCTCCTACTCCTCGGCGGAACCTCCGCCAAGCCGCAACAAAAAGCCTAACCAGCGCAGCGGAGAGGCGCGCCTGGAGATTTAAGCGCAAAGCGCCTGCAGCTGCAACCTCTCCCAGCCCTCTCGCCCACCTGCCAGCTGAGCCAGAAAGAGAGAGAGAGATAGATTGGAGCCGCCGCAATCGCTTCTGGGAAATGAAGTTCTGCCGAAGCTTTGGTCAAGGCCGCCTCATGCGACCGCCGGCTCCAGAGAGAGGCGCCACTACGTCTCTTCTTATTAGTCTGCGCAGATGTACTCCAGTTGTCAAGCGGGCTTGCCTTTCTGCTGCTTAGATCTGGCTGGGGCGGGACTTTCGGAAGTTTTTTCTTCGTTATCCAAAGCAGCTTATCAGAAAGTCGCTGTTTTGATAGGGCAATGGGTTGTGTGTCAATACCTAAAGAAAAACCACTTTTAGACAATCTGGGGTAATTTATCCAGGTGTGGGAAGCACTGGGCTACGCTGTAGGCTTGCCCTTGGCTCATTCCACTATTCCAGAATGGTGGGATTTATGAACCACAGTGCTAAATTCATATTGTACATATTGTAATGTGGGCTTGGCTACTTTGTGGGTCTGGCAACACACAGCCAACAAAAAGCCTGTGTTCTTTCTCTCCCCCTTTTTAACTATCCATTTCCCACAGTTTCTATTTCTCCCAGTTTCTGTCTCCATTCCTACATTTCAAACAGTGACAAAACTATGGCTTACTGTATAAAACACAATTGGATTCACACAGTGTAGGACACCATAAAAATGATTCATAATGGGAGAGTTTACTGGGCTGATGTGCTACTTCAGTTAGTACAAACCCAAGCAACCTCAACAAAATAGTGAATCTTTTAAAATAGTTTTAATTAAAAGTCTTACAAAGAACATAAAATTAACACATAACGAGTAAAAGGAGCAAAGAAAGAAAAAAAGCAGAAGTGTTAGAAAAAAAAGTAAAAGGGAATAGAAAGAAGAGCTCCCCAATTTTCTTTGCAGCAAATACACAGTTACAATATTACTGTATCTCTTGCTCTATGGTTCCAGAAAAAGCTATTTTTTATTATCCAGTTTTCTTCTAATCATGAAAACCACAAATGATATGTGCATTTTTTTCTATTTCATGAAAGTCTATAAGGGGTATCTAGTCAGCCATAAATATGGACACTTTTTATCCTGAAACGCAATAATAATGTATCTCAAATTGCATTCTAATGACATAAAGTACAAACTCTCTCAGAACCATCATTAACCAGCATTACATTCACTCCATGCTATATTTTACCTCCAGCATGTGCATCCCTCATTTTTATGGCCCAAATATTCTTCAAAAGAACAAGATTTTAACTATTTCCTAAATGTCAGGAGTGAAGATACTATTCTTAGATCCAGAGTTAACGGAGTTCTCACAGCAGGGAGGCTGCGCTGAAAATGCCTGCTGCCGATTCCCTCCTTGTCATATTTTCTGGAGACAGAACATGTGCTCTGCAGATCTGTCTAGGGTCACCAGTTATCTGAGTAGGCAAAGCACAACATGGCTAATTGGAAAAGAGGACACATGGGGAAAAAAGGACACACTGTTTATTATCTGTATTTACATTCATTGGAGAGAAAGGGATTACAAGAGAATAAACAGGTACACAATAGGGAACACATTGAGGAAAAACCTGCTAGCAGGAGCTGTTGGCCTAGGGAAGTGATGGTGAACCTTTTAGAGACCGAATGCCCAAAAACTGACCCTGCCTCCGCTCCGTCCCCTGCCCCACCCCCCATCCTCCGACCTGCCTGCCCGCATGGCCACTCACCACCTCCAGGGCCCGCCGCAGATCACCCAGGCAGCCCAGCAGTGCCGTGGCAGCCACACCCTCTGCCCACGCCCCGTAGCATCAACTGTGCGCGATGGGGCATGAGGGCAGAGTCTTGTCTACGCTGCCTGGCTGCCATGTCCTTGGCTGCGTTGCTCCGTGTGGGCCACACTCAGGGGCGACTCTCCTCCAGGGGGGCTATTGGAGAGGAGGGGGTTGCAGGGGAGGCAAGGCTGGGGCAATGGCACAAGTGCCCACAGAGAGGGCTCTGAGTGCCGCCTCTGGCATGCATGCCATAGGTTTGCCACCACTGGCCTATGGTGCTGGGATGGGTTGGGAGACAAAACCTTCAGCATGCAACTAATTAAACTCTTTGTCATTTTAAAGTGATGCTTATTAACTTGACTCTACTCTGGGAAAGGAGTTTCGGTTGGAAATTAAAATAGGGTTTCTCAACCTGGGTTTCATGGTACCCTAGGGTTCTATGAGAGGTCACTTAATGGTTCCTTGAGAGATTTTGATTTATTTTTAAAAAGCAGAGACCAAACAAAAGCCTTCCAACCTTGGGATTCCCCACCAAAGAGTGCAAGAATGTGCATGCACCCTGGGTGGGGGACAAGGATCACTCACATGCAAGCAGGGAGGTGAGCAAAGTCCAGGCTGAGGTATGAGAAGTAAGTGGAGCTGAGCTGAGGAGGGAGGAGGAGAGGAGGGAGGGGCAGCAGGTGGTAAGACAGCATGTGCAAGAGAGAGACGCCAATGCCACCAGAGCCTCCAAACCTGCATGCCACCTTGGCATGCTTGCCTTTCTGCAGATGCCTGGGAGGCTCCATCTTAGGGCAGGTGCAAGAGATCTGGGGCTGGGCTGGCCCTACCCCTCCTTACCCACAGAGGCTGGGAGTAAGAAGAAGGAGGCAGAGAAAAGGAAAAAGTTTCTTTATTTTTAGTTTAAGAACACTGTTGATGCATATACAGGTCTACTATGAAATGAATATAATATTTGGTAACCTCTGGCCCATTCTTGAGCCTGAGTGTACAGTGATTCCTTGAAGCTTGAAAAATGTTTTAAGGGTTCCTCCAGGCTCAAAAGATTGAGACACTATTTGATTTTAAGGCTATGACTACCAGACAAACGATATGAAGAGAAAAAGGAGGACCTGCCCTCTTTTTGATGAATGTTTGGTAACCTTAGGTCAGGGATAGGCAACCTTGGCTCTTTTATGACTCGTAGACTTCAACGCCCAGAATTCCTGAGCCAGCATGGCTCAGCTTAGAAACCTTTCCATTTCCCCTCAGCATGGCTGGCTCAGGAATTCTGGGAGTTGAAGTCCACCAGTCATAAAAGAGCCAAGGTTGCCTACTCCTGACCTAGGTCTACCTTGGAGCTGGAGCAGCAACTGCCCAATAGCCAGGTTCCATAAGGAAGGGAGGCTATAAAAGTGATTATTTTTCCAGCTTCAAAGGTACATTGTTTTAAAGCGTTGCTAGTTGTTTTAGGGTTAATACTTGTTTACTGGATTCTGAGCTCGCTTGATTGGATTGCTTTGTAATTGTTCCTTGCTGACTTTTTTTCTTTCATTCTACAGATTGGAAAAAGCAAATGAGAACAATAATCAGTCACAACAAACCAGTACCAGGAAACAAACCGTTAACAGCGTAGCTCCTGAACTATTGGTATTGTATGGCTATTCCAAGTAGTCCTGGTTTGTTTATATATTACCAATATATCAATTTGTATAACTGCCTATCTCAACTATACGACTAAACGCAACCCCAAACAATAAACAAAATATATTGAAAAAGCATATAAAACATAAACCCCATATCAAATATATTAAAAAACCATATAATGTAATCAGCAGCCAAAATAAAGAAAATTTGCCATATTTAATGCAACCGTTGAGCAGATTCTACTATGCAGCTAGATGTCCAAAGTGGCAAAATGCGACTTCAAAGCCTTACAAATGGCTAGCTCAGGGTTGAATTGTAGGGTCCTTGGTGCTCTCCGAGCTTGGTGGTTTTCTTGCAGATGTTTCATTGCCATACTAAGCTTACATCGTCAGTGCTCAAGTAGACCAAATACAAGGCATTTGGAGATGGAACAGGGCCCCATGCCCATATTGGCTGCTTAGAAGTCAATGTCAAATTGTCCTGAGCTCCAACACACACATTCTCTCTCTCCTTTGGTATCACATAGTAGACACAAATTCAGTAACACTTTGCCAATGGCCCATGAATGATGTTTTTGTAGGAGATGATCAGGCTAACCTGAGGGAGGGGTCAAACGCATCATAAGTCATGAGTCGCTGCGGGCCCATAAGAGATCTAAGTCCAGCCCACCTTGAATTCCTCTCTTATCTCCCACTCATTTCCTTTGACCATTAGTTAATCAGATTCTTGTAGAGAACTTAAGCTTGCAATAAACCTTTATATTCCTTTGAACTGCCGGAATCCCCTGATTTCCCTGGTGCTTGACAGTGTTCTGCATTTTTGTACTTCATGGAAAAGTTTTCCAACTTTTTGCACCCCATAAGAGATTCCAGTATATATCAAAACCAAAACAGGAGAAACCCAGCAGGAGAAATAAGATACCAGTTTTTATTTTCCAGGAGTGCGCGAGAGACAGGCAAATGCTGGCCTTTAAGTGAATACAACCTGTTTTAGTGTTAAAATGGTGATAAGCCGTTTGAACCCACAGTTACACCTCCAACAGTTAGAAGGGCTTTGAAGAGTGGAGGAGTAACCTCCCAAACCAACTGTCCATCACAGAAGTGCAGAGAAAAGAGGCTGAAATGTCCATCTCCTATCAATCAGATTATAAGAAGAGGAGAAGTTCACCAAGGATGAAGGGCAGAAAAACCAGGTTGAAATCACTAAGGATGCCTTTGTTGCATGGGATATCATTTTCTTGTGCCTGCTTTGCAACCTCTTGCCGATATCTGTCAAAATTGTTTCTGGGAAAATAAATAATTGGTGAAATTAGATGTGAAAGTGAATACTGTAAAGCACAGAGTTCAAGCAACTACCAGCGAGATTCTGCATTTATTTCTGCAGTAGCTATCACAGTCTCAAGAGAAGAGAAGGAAGGTCCTATCGCTTCAGGGATTGAGGAGGAACTTAGAAGAGGAGTAATCCAATGCATGAGCTGGAAGGGAGCTTAGAGATCATCTAGTCCAGCCCCTGGTTCAGTTCCAAAATCCACTAAACCAGTGTTTCTCAACCATGGCAACTTTAAGATGATGAACTTCAACTCCCAGAATTTCCCAGCCAGCAGAGCTGAGTTGAAATTCACCCATCTTAAAATTGCTGAGGTTGAGAAACACCGCACTAAACTCATCTAGGATCTATTTGGAAAAGTCCAGTGTGTTGGACAATTTTCTCAGATGTGAATTTGAGAGGTTCTGGTAGTTGCCAAAATAAATTTCTAAGAACTGCCTACCTCCTTCCTGTTAGAGCTGATTTGTGTATTCACACAATAGGAGGATGGGCGAAAGAAGAAACAATGAAGTCAGTGGAAAATGGAACATAAACCTACAGGGAGTGGTAAAACTCTTGTGAAAAGTAGACCATTTTGATTTGGAGGAAAAGTCAACAGCTCACATAATGCCCGGCCAGAATGGCCAGCATGGCAATATCTCTCTGAATATACTAGCTCTTGAAGAAACGGCTGATCCTGTACTTTCTATTCCTTTGAAATGAATACATACTGCTAAATTTTATAAATACAGTAATGTTGAATTTCTTACTCCAATGTGAGACATCAGAAGGAGGTATATACACAAATATACACAAATTGCAAAGGGTTCTTGCCTTCATGTGGCCATTTTTTCGCAATATTCCCAGGATCTAATGCCAAGATGATGGGAGCTAATCAAACAACAGCTATAGAACTTGTTACAAGTAGACTTTTCAAGAGAAACCTCCAGACATTAGAATTTTTGTTTTAGAAAAATAGAGCTCCCCCTTATACAGAAGCAATCAACCTTCAAACAATTGTGGGGAACAGCAGTAGGAGAAGACTATGGTTCTGTCACCCATTTGTAGACTTTGTAGAAACATCTGGATGACCATTGCTGGAAATCTGATTATAAGGCGGATGGATTTTTGACCCAATCCAGCAAGCAAATCTTTGTATTTTTATGGAAACTAAGGTAAATATGCCCTATTTTATCTGGCTGGTCTTACCGTTCCTCTTGGAATTCACGCTTTGCATCTGCCAACTGCGTTGTTTTGCTGCTGAGCTGCTCCAGAAGATGTTCAGTTATATCTAAGGCAGGCAAGAAAGTGCGCATCAGATTTCCATATAAGCATTTTACCTGGATAATTGCTTGCTACCCCCTCTTTATCTCCTCCCCTTCCCTAAAGTGTAAGCTTCTAAATCAGCACATTCAATGGCTAGTTTATTTATTTATTTATTTATGAGACTTATATACCGCTTTAAGTGCAAGCACTCTCTAAGCAGTGTACACCAGTAAGCAATGTATATATATATATATTTACATTGCCCCCAACAATCTGGGTCCTCATTTTACCTACCCTGGAAGGATGGAAGGCTGAGTCAACCTTGAGCCGGTGAGATTTGAACTGCTGACCTGCTGAACACAGTCAGCTAAAGTGGCCTGCAGTACTGCACTCTAACTGCTGCGCCACCTCGGCTCCTTTTACTGTACTAGTACTTATAAAACAGGAAACTTTGATCATACTATTGTGGCTGCCATCTTGACTTTTTTGACCACATCTTGCAGAAAACCTTGTAAGTATTTAGCTAACCTTGCCTATTCCAAAAGACTAAGGAGTGCCCTGCTCACTTCTTGAAGAGGGAACCAGCAACAATGTAAACTACATTATTGGGTATGTCTAGTCTAATGAAAAGAAGGACTAGGAGTGACATGATAACTGTGTTCCAGTATCTAAAAGGCTGCCACAAAGAAGAGGGAGTCAAGCTATTCTCCAAAGCACCACAAGGCAAGCCGAGAAACAATGGATAGAAACTAATAAAGAGAAGTAACCTAGAACTCTAATGAGAAGGAAGGACTCACTGGAGAATGCTGGGAAAGATTGAGGGCAATAGAAGAAGGGGACGACAGAGAATGAGATGGCTGGATGGAGTCACTGAAGCAGTAGGTGTGAATTTAAATGGACTCCAGAAGATGGTAGAGGACAGGAAGACCTGGAGGAACATTGTCCATGGGGTCGCGATGGGTCGGACACACCTTCGCAATTAACAACAACAACAACAACCTAGAACTAAAGAGGAATTTTTTAATAAAACAATTAACCAGTAGAATGACTTGCCTCCAGAAGTTGTGGGTGCTCCAACACGGGAGGTTTTAAAGAAGAGATTGGACAACCTTTTTTCTGAAATGATATAGATATTTTCTACTTGAGACTAGAAGACCTCCAAGGTCCCTTCCAAGTCTATTATTCTGTACATTGGGAATTTGAGGAACCCTAGAACAAGGGTGTCAAACTCAATTTCACTGAGGGCTGCAGCAGCATTGCAGTTGCCCTCAGGGGGCCGGGTGGGTGTGGCCAGGGTGGGTGCGGCCTACTGGGTGGGCGTGGATGGGGTGGCCTACAGGGTAGGTGTGGCCAGCTCTACATCATTCGTGTCAAGGGTGCCTGTGGGGGCCTGGGCAGGAGTGGGATAGATCTGAAGGTCTCTGGCAGAAGGGGGTGGGACCAGGGCAAGTGCCAAGGCATGGTCCACTGGAGGAGCCTCACTGTTCCTCTCAGGCCATGCGGGGGGAGGTGCTTATGGAGCTAAGACTGAATGTGTTTCAGCATAGATGGCCACCACAAAATTGTACATTGGCTCCTGGCTGGCCTGGGCCAGGGCCAAGGCAGAGGGGGCGGTTCCCTCACTGTTTCCAGGATGGCTTCGCAGGCCACATGAAACCACTTCGCGGGCTGCATCCAGCCCCCCCGGGCCTTGTGTTTGACATATCTGCCCTAGAACAAGGCAATGGCAACCTACTTCCAAATTTTTGCCTGAAGAGTTAGCAACCATATGCTAGATGCTGAGGCTCTTGCTTATCTCTTGTACTTGCATCCAACAAACAAGTTTGAAATATCCCTAAATTTAGAGGGCGTTTTCTGTCCTGCTAAATAGGTAAAAAGTGTTTTAAAATAAATCTGTTAAACAATCTTCTAACATTATTGAGAGGCGAGAATCACTACAGGGCCAGGATTTCTATGTTTAGGGAATGGGACCTCAGATTTTTCTGTTTTTTTTTTAAAAAACTATAGAAAATCTAAATTAGAATGCATTTTGGTTTCTTTCTCTCAACTGAAAAACAGTGTTGCTGAGTTCTAGCACTTAGAATAGAATAACAGAGTTGGAAGGGACCTTGGAGGTCTTCTAGTTCAACCCCCTGTTTAGGCAGGAAGCCCTATACCAGTGTTCCTCAACCTTGACAATTTTAAGGCATGTGGACTTCAACTCCCAGAATTCCACAGCCAGCACTGCTGGCTGTGGAATTCTGGGAGTTGAAGTCCACATGCCTTAAAATTGTTAAGGTTGAGAAACACTGCCCTATACCATTTCAGACAAATGGTTGTCCAATCCCTTTTTAAAAATTTCTAATGTTGGAGCATTCACAACTTTTGGAGACAAGTTGCTCCACTGATTAATTGTTCTTAATGTCAGGAAATTTCTCCTTAGTTCCAGGTTGCTTCTCTTTGATTAGTTTTCAACTGTTGCTTCTTGTCCTGCCTTCAGGTGCTTTGGAGAATAGCTTGACTCCCTCTTCTTTGTGGCAACCCCTGAGATATGTCACTCCTAGTCCTTCGTTTCATTAATCTAGACAGACCCAGTTCTAGCAACCATTCTTTATATGCTTTAACCTCTAATCCCCTAATCATCTTTGTTGCTCTTCTCTGCACTCTTTCTAAAGTCTTATCATCTTTTTTACGTCATGGTGACCAAAACTGGATGCAGTATTCCAAGTGTGGCCTTAGCAAGGCATTATAAAGTGGCATTAATAATTCACGTGATCTTGATTCTATCCCTCTGTTAATGCAGCCTAGCACTGTGTTGGCAGCTGCAGCACATTGCTGGCTCATATTTAAGACTGTCCACTAGGACTCAGAGATTGCTCTCACAGTTGCTACTATTGAGCAAGGTACCTGTGCATTTGGTTTTTCTTGCCTAAATGTAGAACCTTATTTTTTCACCACTGAATTTCATTTTGTTAGATAGCGCCCAATGTTTAAGTCTGTCAAGATCTTTCTGTATCTTAAGCCTATCTTCTGGAGTGTTGGCTATTCCTGCCAGCTTGGTGTCATTTGTAAATTTGATGAGTTCTCCATCTATCCCCTCATCCAAATCATTGATGAAGATGTTGAAGAGCACTGGGCCTAAAATTGTAGATTAAAATTGTATGTAGGGGTATTGGGATGGGATATGGACTGTTGAAAAGATAAAAGTTTTAATGTATAATACTGGTTTAAGAAACCAGGAGATTGTGAGTTCTAATTCTGCCTTAGGTATGAAAGCCAGCTGCATGACTTTGGGCTAGTCACTCTCTCTTAGCTCAATTCACTTCACAGGGTTGTTATTGTAGGAAAAATGGGGGGGGGAGTATTACATATGTTTGCTGCCTTGAATTATTTACAAAGTAATAAAGCCTGGATAACAAAAAAAAATCTAATAAATAAAATAAATAACTACATTCAGAACTTGACCAAATTCCAAAGTGCCCATTTTTAAACAGAAAGTGAACATGTTCAATCATTGTTTATCACATGTCTAATGATCACCTTCATGAAAACTCATGCCATTTATAAGCAAGCATGACTGATAGAAGAAGTGATGTCAGAATGAACAGGAACAGAATACAAGGCTTTCATTTCCAGCCCAGGAAGATAGAACTTAAAATGAACTTTCTCATGCCTAGGAGGACGTGAGAAACGAGAGCCAGCAAATCAGAACCAAATTCCTCATTTTGATGGATGAAGGTTTGTTCATGGTTGCAGGATTGTTTTCACACTCGTTGGTCTAGTTCTGAAAGGAATATATTACATGTTCCTTTTCTTGCCTCACCTTTGAGTTTCTGTCCTTCTGCAGCTTGTTGGGTGATTGTTGCCACAAAAAATGTAATATTTTCGTGAATGATGTGCTAGAAATGAAGATAAAGGTTAACCAACTATAATGCTAGAAATTGGGAAGATAGAGGCTTGGTCAGGGCTATGGTTATTTATCTATTTATTAGATTTATGTGATGCCCATCTCATCCAGAAGCAACTCTGGGTGGCTCTGAGCAACTATATAAATCTGATTAACAAAAAATAACAAATAAATGCTCATTTCATAGTTGGGCAAAAATTGTCTTTTGAGACGATTGGACTACAAGTCCCAGGAGGCTTTGCAACAGACAGGAAGAGGACTAGACAAATGCTATGTATCCAAGTCTTATGTAATAAAGAGTATTAAGTTATATTTTATTCTGGAGTCCATATTGTAAGTTCCACTAAAGAGAACACAACAACTGAGGATAACCATGGTGTTCTGCAAGGCTGCCAGGGGGAGGGTGGTCAAAAAAACCAAAACAGCAGTCACAATTGTGCAACTGAAATTGTTTTTCATGTCTTGTAGACTATGATGCTCCTTAAAAAATAGGGCAGTGACTGCACAATCAAGGCTACCTTCTTTTACTTTATTGACCCTTTTTACAGGTGCCTGAATCCTGAATTACAGGTAATCTTGATTTATGGCCACAACTGAGATCAAAATATCCATTGCTAAGCAAGACATTTGTTAACTGAGTCATGACTGATTTTAGGACCTTTCCTTCCATCATCAGTTGCTAAACAAATCACCGCAGTTGTTAAGGGAATCATGGGCTCATTAAGCGAATCCATCTTTCTGCCTTGAGGTACGCCCTTCCCCTTTTTAGGGAAAGGACCGTGCCCTTAAATCTCCCACTTCGCAACTCACAAAAGGAAGCCTGGCATTTACTGAGATTGCAAACATCTGCAGGAAAATAGCAGGACCTTTTCTCCTTCCACTCCTCCCCCCCAGTGGGAAGAGCCACTTTGCAGGTGTGTTTGATCCTCAGCATATTCAGGTAATGGACTGCTGTCCCAGAAAAGCTGGGTTTGTGCCTGGTTTGTGGAAGAACAATGACCCGCACACCAGGGTAGAGAGTGATAGGACAACTTTTATTCTACGCAGAAGAAAGGACACAGGGGGATCTCTCCCAAAGCTTGTGTCTCCCTCACCTCCCTGGTCCCTACTTTATAGGAACAGGGGGGGGGGAGGAGGAGTGGAATCACATTCCTGTGCCATTATGTTATGAAGGCGATTTATGCCCCTCTTGGCAATTTTTGTTATGAATCGGCAACGTTGAGGTTTGCCATACATGCATTCATTGTTAAAAACAGCAACCAAGCCACCATTTCCCTCTTTCCCATATCTAAGCTCCATTTTTATGTCTGTGTCCTTCTCCCATGATATATAGTGGGGTTACATGTCAGCAAGCACAATATATTTAGAAATCCACAATACAGCACTTAAAGTTTAAACCATTCATCTTAAAATTTAAACCGAGTAGACTAAACAATTTGGGGTAGGGTTTTAAGGTCTTTAGGATAGATAAAGACCTTAAGACCCTACCCCAAATTGTTTAGTCTACTCGGTTTAAATTTTAAGATGAATGGTTTAATAAATGTCTTTTTCAGCTGCCAATTAGATTACAAGGGCACTAAACATTTCTAGCCGGTTTTTTCCCCCAACCTCCAATGACTGCTTGGGGGTGTAATCAATGATGCAGTGGCGTCACCAGGAATAAGTCAATATTTTTGGCCCATTTCTTGAAATCACTGGGGTTAAAGTGCAAGGCATTTTGTAGTTTGGGGATCCAGGAGTCCATTCACTGCACTGCCCAGAATTGGCAGCCCAACGTAACATGTGCCATGGGCTGCAGACAAGGAGCTGGAGAAACACTATTCTTGCAATCCAGCACTAAAGGCAATTCTGTGTCGCCTTGTTGTGACCTTGTCAAGACTGTTACTTTTGCTTAACAGCTATTGTCTCCTGATGGATTTCTATGTGTAAAATACAGAAGTTTCAGATTAGGAAGGAAGGAAGGAAGGAAGGAAGGAAGGAAGGAAGGAAGGAAGGAAGGAAGGAAGGAAGGAAGGAACTAAGTTGATCCTGCTCAGATGTTTTGAATAGCCACTTCCATCATCCCCAAACCAAATAGCAAAGGATTAATAAATTAGGATCAAAAACTTCAGAAGGGCCCCAGATTGAGATTAAATGTGTCGATGGAGCTAAATGAGAAGACATCCTTGGCTCCTCTGCTAATTTACATTCATCTACTTTTCTGAGAGATGAACTACTGTTCTGAAGGCCTAACCACCAAAGTAATATGGGCTAGCAATTTCTTTTTCTGCTCTTTTCCCATATTATTGCCTTCATCTTGCCTTGGCTCATGAGTGAAGCAGGCTTAAATTGTCCTTAGCAATACTGATTGCAATGTTTTGCAATGCAAAATTGCAAAGCAATATTTTCTTTCTTATTCTGACACCCCACCCTACCCCAAGGTCAGCTTGGAGATATGTGTAAGAACTATTATGTTTTGTCCACCATTATCTTGAAGGAAAATCAGAAGATTACAAAGGCTGGGAACAGAAGCATTGACCACAATTTCATGCTGGTGGATTTGTTTGTTTTTTGCTGACTCAATGACAGATGGAGAGCAGTGGGCGAAGACCCTAAAACACACAATGAGAACCACCATCCCCAATGTCATGCTTTCCTGATACACAGAGACTACAATGTCCAGAATTCCCAGCCAGACTACACCATGGCTATCCTGGAGGGTGACAGTGTAAGTTCCCATTCCCATGAATCCGGATGGCATCCGGTTGAGGGATTAGAATTCTTTTAGGAATTTGCTTTTAAATATTATTAAAGTATTTTACCAGCTCAGCCTGGCAGGAGTTCCAGTGCCCTTCCATCGTTGTGAGGTTGTGCTTCACAATTCCCAGTTGCTCCTGTAACCGGGACCTTTCCTGTTCTGCCTCCTCCAAAAGCCGTATCTTTTCTCCTAAAGTCTGGTTAGTGGTGGCCAAGGTACACTTGAGGTCTTCGTTTTCCCTTTTCTTCATCTCCAGAAGACGTTCTGTTTCAATCAGGGTCTGATTGCTAGACAGCAGTTGTATCCACATGGCATCCTTTTCCCGGGATTTGCTTTCCAGAGCCTGATGGGCAATTGTCTTTTCGTGGCGCTCCTGCGTGTACAAAATCAGGAAAACAACAAAGCAAAACAGGAAAAGGACAGTGGCAATTCCCAGGCAAAGGGCGCACGCCTTCCCAATCTTTCCTTTTGCAGATAGGAGTGGGATGTCTCGCCCACCCATGGCAGCTGAAGATTTCTTGGAAACCAGCAAAGCCACTGCCCTTGCAACTCCACTGCCCTGGAGATTTGTTGCAACTGTGTGCTTCGGAAGGACCCTCCTCTCCCAAGTGCTTACCTCATCGGGGCTTCCTTTCCAAGAGTTTCAGGATCTGGCAGAAAGGTCAAAAGCACAGAGCAGCTGATATTTTATACTGAAAGCTCCCTGCTCATACTTTTGCTGGGTCCTCACTTGCATTTAATGAACCCTCTTTTTTTTCAGTCTGGCCCTGTCTAAGGTCAAGCCCAGGAGAGGGACAGGCCTTAGGACACCCTTAGCTGCTCAAGTGTTCAAAAAAAAAAAAAAAAGATGTTCTCCCTAATGCTATCCAAAGACATCCTCCAGGTGTGCAAAATTTGTTGGGCTTTGTCACAGGGTGGGGTGGGGCATCAAATCAGAGACTGCAGTGATTGGGAAGAGGAGCAAGAGAGGCAGGAGAGGATTGGCAGCAGACATGGAAAACTTCATGCCTTTCTTTCTTTCTTTCTTTCTTTCTTTCTTTCTTTCTTTCTTTCTTTCTTTCTTTCTTTCTTTTAGCACTCGGTCTCTAAAAGGTTCGCCATCACTGGGATAGACCAAACCAGGAAATCAGCTGCACAAATCAGGAGGCTCATAATATAAGCCCCACCACCAAAATAAGCACCATTTAACATTGTCAGACAGATGAACACATAGTACCATAGTACCATATTTCCCTGAATATAAGCCCTAATCAGAAAATAAATCCTAATGCATCTTTTGGAGCAGAAATTAATATAATACCCGGTCTTATTTTTGGAGAAACATGGTACATTTACAGTAATTCAGATAATTGCTTTAGTTTGGCAAGATTCTGTCTGTAGACAAATAATAAAAGAAATTACTTAGCAGTAACTCCATGTGTCATTCTTGGTTCTCTGGGCCTCAGAGTCTATGCATTTGTAGGAGCAGTATAGAATCCTCTATGGAGTCAGTTCTGCCACTAATGGATTAGACCTCCATCCTATCTGAATGGTGAGAGCTACCTGGGACATAATGGGAGGTTGGGCATGGGCATTAATGGATCTTTGGAAGAGCTGCCTTGAAAGTTGAGATGATGTTCCCCTTCTCAAAAAGCTTTTACTTAATCTGGTGAGTTTGGACAACTGTTGGCCTGTGTCTGAGTTTTTGTGATGAGATGACATGGAACAGCAGTTGCAGAGATCTCTGGATGAAAATTATCTGGGACCTGGTCAGTTGGGTTTCAAGGCTGGGTATGGGAATTAAGATGACATGGATTGTTGTTATGGATGACCTGGGAATTTGGAAGCCAATAGATTCTGGAATAATAATAATAATAATAATAACAACAACAACTACTACTACTATTACTACTACTACAACAACAGCAACAATAACAGTAACAATAACAACAATAATAATAAAGTTGGAAGGGACCTTGGAGGTCATCTAGTCCAACCCCCTGCTCAGGCAGGAAACCCTATACCATTTCAGACAAATGGCTGTCCAGTCTCTTCTTAAAAACCTCCAGTGTTGGAGTATTCACCGCTTCTGGAGGCAGGTTGTTCTACTGGTTAATTGTTCTAACTGTCAGGAAGTTTCTCCTTAGTTCTAGGTTGCTTCTCTCCTTGATTAGTTTCCATCTGTTGCTTCTTGCCCTGCCTTCAGGCGCTTTGGAGAATAGCTTGACTCCCTCTTCTTTGTGGCAGCCCCTGAGATATTGTCCCCCCTTGTCCTTCTCTTCATTAAACTAGACATAATCCATTTATGGTTTTGGATGCAGTTGTGTTCTCCAATGTGGACTAATCTGCCCTGAGTCCTATTAACTCCAAGCTCCAGCTTGAAGAACAGGTGGCAGCTATGACCAAGATGATCTTTGTAAACTCTATTGTAGAATAGAATAGAATAGAATAGAATAGAATAGAATAGAATAGAATAGAATAGAATAGAATAGAATAGAATAGAATAGAGCTGGAAGGGACCTTGAAGGTCTTCTAGTCCAGCCCCCTGCTCAAGCAGGAGAACCTATACCATCTCAGACAAGTGACTGTCCAGTCTCTTTTTAAAAACCTCCAGTGATGGAGCGCCCTCATTTCTGGAGGCAAGCTGTTCTGCTGGTTAATTGTCCTCACTGTCAGGAAGTTTCTCCTTAATTCCAGGTTGCTTGTTTCCAACCATTGTTTCCTGTGTGCACTGGTTGGATATGTTTCTGAAACAGAAGGCATTTTTGATGGTCATGCATATCCTTCTCATCTCACTCTTGGTTTATTGTAACTTGTTCTGCATGGGGCTGTTCTTGAAGACTGTTTGAAAGCTGAAGCTGATCCAGAAGCATATATAGAAATGATCTTGACTCACTTTGCCACCTCTGCTTTGGGAACCATACTACTTACCATACCATTAGGCTGCTGAGTTCAATTCAAATTGTTGAGTTCTACCTTTAAATCCTATTATGGGATTTCACATACAGCTTACAATCTAGATAGTTCCAAGACTATCCATCCCTTGTGGAATCTGCCTGATGATGATCCATTCAGTCTTATCCTATTCTTGGTGATTCTGTGGGCCAGGTCTCCCCACTGTTGTGCAGGATCTGAGGTGTTGCTTTATAAAGAAATGCAGGAAACCAGAAGTTGCCTTTTAAGCTTTACGTTTTTATTCAGCTGAACAAAGACGGGCCCCTCTAAAAGAGAGGAAGCCCCAAATGACAAGAAATCATTACATTTATACTTTTTGATTACATAAACAATTCACCCAGCAAAGCTGGCACACATAAGATTAAGAATTCACCCAGAAAGTCTAGCACACCATAGATAAGGTAAGAGGAAGCAGAAATAGCTAAAGATGTTCTTTTTGTGTGTTTCTCTAAAGACACTGCATGTTCTCGGGTGACTTGGGACATTGGGTGTTTTCCTGGGTGACCTTCCATGACTCTGCAAGTACCCAGAGATAGCAGGGTCATCCACACGTATTCACAATCTATGCTTTCTCCTGATTCCGGGTCAACACCGTATCTTCTACTCTTGCACTACTTCTTTGAGTTTTTTTATGCTTTGGCTGGTGTCAGCTTTGATGGTGTGCAGCCATCGTGTTCTTTGGAGGCCTGGTTTCCTTTTAAGGAATCTGCCTAGCCAGTGTGATTCAGGAAGGCAGACGTGCTACAAGTCCCTACTTTAAGTAAATGACAACACCCAGGATTTGGGGCTGAACTCTTTTGGTGATGGTGCCCTTCCTCTGGACACCATCTTCTTGGTAAAATGAGGACTCAGATTGTTGGGGGCAATATGCTGACATTTGTAAATCACTCATAAGTGCTGTAAAGCATTATGTCTAAGTCCTACCCAGTATTGCTATTGGTATCCATGTTAGTATGTTGGGAGGCTTCTGGAAGGACTACAGAGAGAGGACAATAGCTGCTCATGAAGTAGTTGGTGCCAGGTCATGAGATGAGAGGAACAATGTGGAGTTTTGTTGCATTTTATAGGTTTTAACTCTAATACCATATGGACAAATTGTAAATTGTTAGTTTGACTTCGGGTAGCTTGACTGGAGCAGCATAAAGAATTAATTAAGCACACAATGGGTGAATTATGCATAAGCCCCATTGGATTGGGAAAATTGCTTGCCAAAATACACTCTCCCTGCATGCCATTAATTATAATAACTGTAATTTAGAAATACAGCCACGGAAATGGAAAGAAATCGCTTTCACCAAAGGAAGGGTTCATATATCATCCTTAACCCTAAAAGAATGACAGTGTTCACAGAAGATGTTGTGCCCAAACAAATTAAACCATGTTCATGAAGCTTAGCTCATACTAAACATTGGCAGGATACCCAATCCAATTTTAGTATATGCTGTTTTGTAGTCCACGAAGATACAAATGATTCATCTCTAGAATTCAAAATTATTAAATATTTGGAAAAGGTTAAATAGAGATTTATTGTGGAAAGTTCCTAGACAACAAGCATCTGCCTTCAAGATGAGGACACAGTTATATAGATAAGTATGTATTGTGTTTTTATTTCACATGAAATATTAGTATATTATAGATAACAATAATAACAAGAACATCTGTGCATTGACAAAATTTCCATCTGTCAATTACAAAAAGCCACACTGCTTTGATCCACATGTATGTTATGCCAATACATTACGACTTCTTGGTCTTGAGAAGAACTCCATGTGCCAGCTAAAGAACTGGCAACTGTGATTTCATGTTATTGTGTTTATAATCATACTAAAAGAAAACGAAGAAGCTAAAGTGCTTTGGGACTTAAGAATTCAAACAGGCACCTGCCACATAACATGTCAGAGTTAACAATTGTTCATAAGAAAAACAAAAAAGTTCTGATCATGGATATGGCAGTACCTGGAGATAGCAGAATAGAAGATAAAGAACTGGAGAAGATAATAAAATACAAAGACCTGCAAATGGAAATAGAGAAACTGTGGCAAAAGAAAACAAAGGCAGTACTATTAGCAATAGGCACTTTGGCTGTAATCCCAAAACACCTGGAGCACCATTAAAGGAGAATATTTGTAGTTCAGGGTTGAAATGAGGGGTCCTTGGTGCTCTCTGAGTTTGGCTGGAGCACCACTTGAACGCCATTGGCATTGACAAAATCACCATCGGTCAATTGCAAAAGACAGCTTTTCTCAGAACATCTTACATCCTGCGACAATCAGGATGTAACACTATAAGACATCCACATCTGCCTATCCCAAATCCTTGAGAAGGACTTAATAGGTTGATAAAAATGGCAAATACAGTCCAAACATCTGGCTGACTGGGTGACCAACCATAATACTTTTAAAGTACAACTTTAAAATAGTTAGGAAATATTTTTTTAAAAAAAGATACATAAATATATCTCTGTCGGGAAACAAATTCAGTAATTGACAAAGACATTTATTTTTCAAATGAGCAAATAAGAAGGAGTACTTCGTTTTCAAGCTGCAGCAGTGTCCGTCGTTTATCCCAAGACCTTCTTGAATGGCAATGCTACCACTCTTTCGAGCAACATTGGACACAGCAGATGAGAAGGCCCAAAATCACAAACGCCCATATCGCAATGGATCCATAATCTTCTAAGATATTTTGTGTGGAACTCTCTTTCTGCTGCGGCCATGCAATTTGGTCATTTAGCTCTCCCGTTCTGCGCTTGTATGCCAAAAAAGAGAAAAAAAGAGTCCAGAGACAAGGCACTGATTATGTCACTGCAGTCACCATCTTGACTTTTTTGATCCAACCCCATAAATACTGTACTCCTGAAAGAGTTCATTAGAGTCTATTGATTGGACCATATAGCTGCCTAGAGATAACAGGACTCTGAGTGAAAGATTTCTGTCCATGCTCCTATCATAGGTGTTCCTGGACTGTAGGATAGTTTCCATCTCTTATACCCCTTTGTTTTATTTTATGTTACATATTAAGCTTTTGATAATAGCACAAGAAATAATGGAAGAATGAAAACTTTCACAGTTGCAGGAACTGAGTACGTCTAATTTAATGAAAAGAAGGATTGGGGTGATATGATAGCAATGTTCCAATATCGGAGGGTTTGCCACAAAGAAGAGGGGTCAACCTGTTCTCTAAAGCTCCAGAAGGAAGGACAAGAAACAATGGATGGAAACTTATCAAAGAGAGATCCAACCTAAAACTAAGGAGAAATTTCCTGTCAGTTAGAATTAAGCAGTGGAACCACCTGCCTCCAGAGGTTGTGAGTGCTCTATCACTGGAAGTTTTTTTTAGAAGAGATTGGTCAGCCATTTTGTCTGAAATGGTATAGGGTCTCCTGCTTGAAAAAGGGTTGGACTAGAAGACCTCCAAGGTCCCTTCCAACTCTGTTACTTTATTATTGTTCTATTATTATCTCAGTGTAATGTGTCTGCTTATATGAAAAAAAAGAACTATAAAAATTCTGAAAGAGGAATGTCTTGACTTTGGGGTCTCCAACAGGATGTCCAGACAAGATTGTGAATTCCTGTGGAGATAACTTTGGAAAAACCGTTAAAGAAACAGTTCAAGAAACATGAAAATGGATGTCAGGAAGAAACTCAAATTGTTTCTCTGAATTCAGTGAGAATATAAGAGGAGGAAAAGGAAAATATTGTCAGGCTCTGAAGATTCTGTTGTTAAAACCTTCCCTGATAAATGCTTTCCAGCATTCCTGCGGAATTTCCTTCCTTCCTTGCCTCCTTTAAGGGTTGATAGCTGTTAATTTTGTTTGTTTCTTTTCAGTTTGTCATTATGGCAGCCGTTCTGTAAACAGATGATCCTATTCTCAATCAACAGATCAGAGTATAAGAAAAGATGAGGAGTCTTCAGCTGTGAGTGAGTCCCCTGCAGACACCTCTATTTGCAATGGTCTAAAGCAGAGGTCCCCAACCTTTTGGGCACCAGGGACCGGTTCCATGGAGAGAGGTATTTCCACGGACTGGAAGGTGTGTGGTTTTGTGTGCTGCCTGCATCTAGCGGATGGGGCTTTGCTTGTTTGACTGGTTGCAGGATGCCGTGGCCCGGTACTAGTCCACGAACCGGGGGTTGGGGACCCCTGGTCTAAACTAGTGCTTTTCAAACTTGGCAACTTTAAGATGCGAAGACTTCAATCCCCAGAATTCATGCTGGTTGAGGAATTCTGGGAGTTGAAGTCCACATATTTGCAAAAACCGAATTTGTAGTCTAAAATGAGCAGCTGCACCATAATTTGGAGCAGATGTTGATCTTGCAAGAGGATGTGCAAATTAAGGACACTTTCCCACAACCACTATTACCTCTCTACCCTACCCCCTCAAATCTCCCCAAACCCTCAGAGATGACCTTCAACTGTTGTTGCAAGAATAGCCGATTTCTGCTCTTCCAGTTCCCACTACCCAGTTAATAAAGGGGCACCGAAAATGGGCTTTGGCCAAGACTCCCTCCACTCTACAATCACATTTCTTTTTTTTTTTAGCATGGCAAAGAGCCAGTGTGCCTCTGGCTGTTTCCAAAAAGATTCATTATCTGGTGCAATTGTCCATTGGTTCTCCGTCAAGGGAGATTTGGAGATGGGTGTTGCGAGAGAACCTCTGTCAGTGAAAAGCTGCCCACCTTCCAAGCCAGGTGGAAGTTGGGTGAACTGTCATTTGGGACAGCTTAAGCCAGACCAAAAGATGCTTGAAGGTTCAATAAGGACAACATCATTTGAATGTGCAGCATTGATTAGGACAGTGTTTCCCAAACTTGACAATTTTAAGGCATGAGGACTTCAACTCCGAGAATTCCACAGCCAGCATTGCTGGCTGTGGAATTCTGGGAGTTGAAGTCCACATGCCTTAAAATTGTCAAGTTTGGGAAACACTGGGGTATATGAACATCCCAGCTCTCTGCACTCAATAAGAAAGACAAAAAAGTCTGGATAGTGGATGTGGCAGTGCCTGGAGATAGCAAAATAGAAGAGAAAGAACTGGAGAAGATAACAAAATACAAAGACCTACAAATAGAAATAGAAAGATTGTGGCAAAAGCAAACAAGGGTAGTACCAATAGTCATAGGCTCCTTGGGTGCAATCCCAAAACAACTGGAGCACCACTTGAACACCATTGGCATTGACAAATTCGCTATTAATCAATTGCAAAAGGCGGCCTTATTAGGAACTGCTTCCATCCTGCGACGATATCTGTAATATCATCAAACATCCACATCTGCCTATCCCAGATCCTGGGTAAGGACTCGATAGGTAGACAAAATGCCAAATCCAGTCTGAACATCTGGCTGACTGTGCGATGATCGATAATAATAATAATAATGTCAAAAAGGCATTTGACTCTCTGCCACATGATTGGATAATCAAGTGGCTAGAAATAACAGGAGTAAGTAGAAACATCAGAAAATTTGTGCAAAAATCGATGGCACAATGGAAGACACAGTTGCAGATCAATGGTGAAAAGCTGGGAGAGGTTAATATCAAGAGAGGAATATTTCAAGGAGATTCATTATCACCATTACTATTTGTTATTGCACTATTTCCTCTGTCAACAATACTGAATAACTCAGGACATGGTTATCAAACATCAAAAACATCTGCTAGACTATCCCACCTCCTTTACATGGATGATCTGAAGCTGTATGGAAAAACATCATCTGAAATAGAATCGCTGCTCAACACTGTCCGTATATATAGCCAAGATATTGTAATGGAGTTTGGCTTGGACAAATGTGCCACACTTACTATCAAACAAGGAAAAATAGTGAAAACTGAAGGAATCAAGATGCCCCACGAAAATAACATTAAGAGTCTGGATGAGGAAGAGTACTACAAATACTTGGGTATCCTTCAAGCTGACAACATCAAGCACACTGAAGTCAAGAAAAAGATTAGAGGTGAATACATCAAGAGAGTGAAGAAGATCTTAAAGTCCAAACTCAATGGAGGAAATACCATAAAGGCAATCAACACCTGGGCAATCCCAGTCATTAGGTACACAGCTGGAATAGTGGACTGGACTCAAGCAGAACTAAAAGCAATGGATAGGCAGACCAGAAAAATAATGACAATGAATCACGCCCTTCATCCACGCAGTGACATTGATAGACTTTATCTACCAAGGCAAATAGGTGGGCGTGGAATGCTACAAGTACATCAGATGGTTGAAGAAGAAAAAATGGCTTTGGAAGAATATCTGAAGAACAATGATGAAGATGCACTGAAATTAGTATATCAGGAAGGCTTACTAACTACTGGAGAGACCAAACTGGCCTACAAGAAAGACCAAATGAAGAACAGAATAGAGGCATGGGAAGACAAAGCACTACATGGCCAATACATGAAAAAAATAGCTGGGAAAGCAGATAATAATAAACCTGGCAATGGCTAAGAGCAGGAAAATTGAAGAAAGAGACCGAGGGACTAATTCTGGCTGCACAAGACCAAGCCTTAAGGACAAATGCATACAAAGTCAAAATTGAGAAGACAGCAACAGACAGTAAGTGCCGCCTATGCAAAGAAGCTGAAGAAACAGTGGACCACTTGGTAAGCTGTTGCAAGAAGATTGCACAGACTGACTACAAGCAGCGGCATGACAAAGTAGCAACAATGGTGCATTGGAAGATCTGCAAAAAATATCATTTGCCTGTAAGCAAAAACTGGTGGGATCATAAAATAGAGAAAGTCATAGAAAATGATAAAATTAAACTGCTCTGGGACTTCAGAATTCAAACAGACAAGCACCTGCAACATAACACCCCAGACTTAACAATTGTCGATAAGAAAGACAAAAAAGTCTGGATAGTGGACGTGGCAGTGCCTGGAGATAGCAGAATAGAAGAGAAAGAACTGGAGAAGATAACAAAATACAAAGACCTACAAATAGAAATAGAAAGACTGTGGCAAAAGCAAGCAAGGGTAGTACCAATAGTCATAGGCTCCTTGGGTGCAATCCCAAAACAACTGGAGCACCACTTGAACACCATTGGCATTGACAAATTTGCTATTAGTCAATTGCAAAAGGCGGCCTTACTAGGAACTGCTTCCATCCTGCGACGATATCTGTAATACCATCAAACATCCACATCTGCCTATCCCAGGTCCTGGGTAAGGACTCGATAGGTAGACAAAATGCCAAATCCAGTCTGAACATCTGGCTGACTGTGCGATGAATGATAATAATGTTGGAAGGGACCTTGGAGGTCATCTAGTCCAACCCCCGGCTCAGGCAGGAAACCCTATACCATTTCAGACAAATGGCTGTCCAGTCTCTTCTTAAAAACTTCCAGTGTTGGAGCATTCACCACTTCTGGAGGCAGTTTGTTCTACTGGGTTAATTGTTCTAACTGTCATGAAGTTTCTCCTTAGTTCTAGGTTGCTTCTCTCCTTGATTAGTTTCCATCCATTGCTTCTTGTGCTTTGGAGAATAGCTTGACTCCCTTTTCTTTGTGGCAGCCCCTGAGATACTGAAATACTGCCATCATGTCCCCCCTCATCCTTCTCTTCATTAAACTAGACATACCCAATTCCAGCAGCCGTTCCTTATATGTTTTAGCCTCCAGTCTCCTAATCATCTTTGTTGCTCTTCTCTGTACTCTTTCTAGAGTCTCAACATTTTTTTTACATCATGGTGACCAAAACTGGATGCAGTATTCCAAATGTGGCCTTACCAAGGCATTATAAAGTGATATTAACACTTCACATGATCTTGATTCTATCTCTCTGTTAATGTAGCCCAACACTGTGTTGGCCTTTTTGGCAGTTGCAGCACACTGCTGGCTCATATTTAAGTGATTGTCCACTAGGACTCCGAGATCCCTCTCACAGTTGCTACTATTGAGCAAGATACCCCCTATACATACCTGTACATTTGGTTTTTCTTGCCTAATTGATAAAGAATCAGCTATTCATAAAGAAGAAACTTCATGAAATTCCTTATTCTGGAATCCCTAATTAGGTTGCTGTATCAGCAGACTGAAAATGCTGAGCTAGATCAATGTTTCTCAATCTTGGTGACTTCTAGATGTGTGGACCTCAACTCCCAGAATTCCTTAGGCAGCGTGATGCTGGAAGTTGAAATCCACACATAAAAGTTACCAAGGCTGAGAAATGCTGAACTAAATGAATGTCCCAGAAAAACTTTTAGGAAGAATGACAGCTGTATAAATCTATTTAACAATATACATTAGTTGAAATGTGGTTTTTCAAGTGTTTGGCTGACCATTGTATGAAATGGATGCTGAGCAGGATTGCATCCATTGGTCTAAAACCAGTGCCTTTGTTTTGTTCTTAACTTTAAGGACTGTTAATAGCAGTTCCTGGCCCTTGAGACATCTTGGGCTCTAGGAAAAGGTGATTTTCTCTAGGAACATCTGGCTGGCTGTTTCTGGATGCGGGATATGAAGGACCTGTGATTCCCACCAACAAGCAAAATTCTGTTTGTTACCTTTCCTTTGTAAACCTATCTCGGTTTCTCTGTTCTTCTTCCATCTGCAACTGAAGCTTCGCTATTTTATCTAAAAAGGAAAAAAAAAACATTATGTTACCCAGATGGTATTTCACTTCCACTTATACATACCTGCAAGGCATAGGGAGAATCCATTCTTGCTGCATTACTTGTGTTCCCACCACTCCATCTATTGGCAGTGCAGGCTAACATGGGGACTATAGATTGCTTCACCCAGTTTAAGCCCAAGCCTATTGGCACGAAAGATCTTTTCCTTCTCCCATCTTACCATGCTAGAAGCCCTCTAGCTACATTATTCCTTTGCTATGTCATTCATGTTGCCTCCACCTGATCCCAGCCCATGTCATGAGACAGCTTTTCAAAACTGCTGACTTTTGAAAGAACCCTGGGAAGTGCTAAGTCATGCTAAAGAACACCAGAATAAGTGGATATGGGCTTCATGCACTTTTAAAACTACCTATTGGCAAGTTTGGCTATTGAAGCAAGTTTGCAGAAATAAAGAGTGCTAAACCTATATTCTCCTGAAAAGCTGATAAAGCAGAAAGGCATGGATCTAACCATCTATATAAACTTGCCACTTTAGAGCTTGTAGAAATAAGTGAGTACACTTGATGGCGCAGTGGTTAGAATGCAGTAATGCAGGCAAACTCTGCCCATAGCCTGAAGTTTGATCCTGACCAGCTCAAGGTTGATTCAGAATTCCATCCTTCCAAGGTTGGTAAAATGAGGACCCAGATTGTTGGGGGCAATATGCTAACTCTGTAAACTGCTTAGAGAGGGCTGTGAAGCACTATGGGGCAATATATATAAGTCCAAGTCCTATTACTATTGCTAAACTGGCAAGTTTTGATATGAAATTCAATGCACATTATCCAGGTGCAGAGCAGGCCTACAGCAGGTCTACAGGCAAACAAACCTGTCCTCTCTTATTTTGCGGTGGGCAGTAAAGCAGGGTTAGCAAATTCAACCATTTGCCAAAACTCAGCAATCCATGGCCATCTCACATTGCAGTTGTGAACTGCAGGTGATCTCCCATTGTCTGGTGACATTCAGAAAGATGGAAAGCAGCAAAACCAGAGACATTAAATCAGTATTTCTCAACCCTGGCAACTATAAGATGTCTGGACTTCAAGTCTTGAAGTCCACACATCTTAAAGTTGCCAATGTTGAGAAATACTGCATTAACTATTACTTATAGTAATGCTGTACAGTTTTCTGCCAACTCAAGGATGAGTGGAAAGTTGTTTAACCTGGAAGCGGAGAAAGTCCTGCATCAGGACAGCCACGTGGTTGTCCCTTACCTTTGTATTCTTCAGCTTTACTATCTGAAGACTTGAGTTTTTCTTCCAATGTGTTCTAATGGGGGAAAGAAAACCAATGCAAAATGGAATGATCACATGATTCTAAAATGAGCATTTTGCTCTACTTATTAGCAAAGAACATGAATAAATAAATATTGTACATCAAATAATAATCAGATGTCTAAAATAGGAAATAAATGCCATGATAGCCACGATCTCAGAATTGCATATACCTACTGAGTTGGCTGTATAGATTTTTTGGTATCTTCCAGTGCTTATTTCTATCCTTCTAATATGCTATGATTGTGTCCCACAGTTGCCAAATTTTTCTTTCCAAATTATTTGGAAATTATATTTAAAAACAAAATGTTTTCATTCCATGTAATTCTCCATGTAATACTGTACACATGAAGCATATAAAATAAGAAAAAAGATGCAGCTTACGGATCAGTTCCAAGATTTCTGAAGCTCATGTAAGTTCAGCCAAAAATCTTATGCAGTCTGCAAATTCTTCTATATATATTAATGTTTTTCATTCATTCATAAACCTCAACCTAAACAGATATTCACAGACTGTTTTCAAACAATTTACTCACAAAAATTGGCAAAGCAGAGTGCTGTCAAATTCAGATGACAAATTCAGGAGCATTCTCTAAGCTGGCACGTTCCATATATGTTGGAATGGCAATGCCCAGAACTCCAATACAACTAGTCCTCGACTTACGTCCACAACTGAGCCCAAAAGTTCTGTTCTAAGTGAGATAGTTGTTCAGTGAGTTTTGCCCCATTTTACAACCTTTCTTGCTATAGTTGTTAAGTGAATCACTGCAAATGTTAAATTAGTAATACAACTGTTAAGTGAATTTGGCTTCCCCATTGACTTTGCTTGTCAGAAGGTGGCAAAAGGTGATGATGTAAGTGACCCCAGGGCACTGCCACTGTCATAAGTACATGCCAGTTGCCAAACGTCCAAATTTTGATTACGTGACCATGGGGATGCTGAGTGTGAAAGACGGTCATAAGACACTTTTTTTCAGTGCTGTTTCAACTTTGAACTGTCATTAAATGAATGGTTGTTAAGTCGAGAACTATCTGTACTAGGGGATTTTGAAGTAGCAGCCCCAGACCATCAAGAACAGTGGTCCCCAAACTTTCCAGCTTGGGAGCCTGCTGTGGGGGAAGGGAGAAGGGAACGGTTGTTGAGCACAAGCATCCACTGCTCACATGAGTGGAGCTGTATGTGTGAGCCAAGCACTCGCCACTTGTGCAACCCAGTTCCAAACGGGCTGGTAGTGGGCCACAACCTGGGGGTGGGGACCCTTGATCGAAAAGGTGCCAGGTTGGAACAATGGAGGAGGGCAACCCAATGGCACACTGACATGTACTCCAGCAAGAACCTGCCAGGTGGTTCAGTCAGAGGAACATGAAAGCCATTGCCACCTTGGCAGGAAGAACACTTCTGCCTATTTAATGGTAGCTGTCCGAAGAAAGCCAATAGAATTCAGCTAGATCAGGGGTTCTCAACCTTGGCAACTTTAAGACTTGTGGACTTCAACTCCCAGAATTCCTCAGCCAGCTTTGCTGGCTGAGGAATTCTGGGAGTTGAAGTCCACAAGTCTTAAAGTTGCCAAGGTTGAGAACCCCTGAGCTAGATGGAACAAACTAAGCCAGACATGTCAAACACAAGGCCCGGGGCCCGGATGCAGCCCGTGAAGTGGTTTCATGTGGCCCGCGAAGCCATCCTGGAAACAGTGAGGGAACGGCTCCCGCTGCCTTGGCCCTGGCCCAGGCCAGCCGGGAGCCAATGTACAATTTTGTGGTGGCCATCTATGCTGAAACACATTCAGTCTTAGCTCCACAAGACCATCTGGAAACAGCGAGGAACCAGCCCCTGCCTCATCGGCCCCACCCCCTGGGTGCATGCTGGGGAGGTGTCACCCTTTGTGAGGAATGAAGAAATGCACCATCACCTGGAAGTGGCCAGCAAATGGCCCTCACCTACTTCACATATCCGGCTTGATGGGCTCCAGGGGAGGGTTTTGGCAGGCAGCAGGGCACTCTCCTCACAGCACCAAGAGGCTGAGCTGGACGGCGCAAATCCAAAAAGAAGCGCGACGCCGCCCAGCCCCCAGCCTGCCTGGTTTCGGTAGGCAGCAGGGCGCTCTCCTCACAGCACCAAGAGCTAAGCCGGGTGGCGTGAAACTGATGAGAAGTGCAATGCTGCCTAGCCCCCAGCCTGCCCAGTTTCAGCAGGCAGCAAGGTGCAAAGCTGGCGAGCTTCGCACCGCCCGGCTCAACCTCTTGGCGCTGTGAGGAGAGCGCCCTGCTGCCTGCCGAAACTGGGCAGGCTGGGGGCTGGGCGGCATTGTGCAGGTAACATTAACTCTCACGCTGCTCATGGCATCCCCTCTCCCAGAGCCCACCAAGCCAGGTATGTGAAGTAGGTGAGGGCCATGTGCTGGCCACTTCCAGGCGATGGTGCATTTCTTCATTCCTCACAAAGGGTGACACCTCCCTAGCTGTGTTTCTTGCCTGTTTTTCTCCCTCCCTCATCTCAAATATTTTCCCCTCACTCTGTACTTAGGAAGGAAAGAAGGAAAGAAGGAGAGGGAGGGTCTGAGGGAAGTGCTGCCTTAGTCCTGCCCTGCTGCCCTTTCACCATCCCCTTGCCCCCTCCTCCTGGCCTATCCTGGGGGGTCTCCCATCCTATTGCTAAGAAAGCTTTGGATACAAAGCCGGGTCTCCTCCCATGGAGAGGGAATGGGCCTCCCTCTGACTTTGCCCTCGTACCCATCATGAGCAACCAGGCTAAGAAAAGCAAGCACAGCAGCAGCAGCCTTGAGGAGGAGGTAAGTGCAGCTGGGCGCCCCCTTGGGGAAGTGGGGCTGGGCTTGGTGCCGCGGTTGTTCAAGGGCCAGGCTGGGCGTTTGACCTCTGCTGCCCAGGGCAGCCCATACCACCATCTACCCCCCCCATGGCCTGAGAGGAACAGTGAGCCTCCTCCAATGGACCATGCCTTAGCACTTGCCCTGGTTCCACCCCTTCTGCCAGAGACCCTCAGGTCTGTCCCACTCCTGCCCAGGCCCCCACAGGCACCCATGATGTGAATGATGTAGAGCTGGTCACGCCCACCCAGTAGGCCACACCCACTCCATCCACGCCCACCCAGTAGGCCACACCCACCCTGGCCACACCCACCCGCCCCCCCAAGGGCAACTGCAATGCTGATGTGGCCCTCAATGAAATTGAGTTTGACATCCCTGAACTAAGCCATTCTGCTGGGTCCAAAAAATACACCATGTTTGTTCATTCTAATCTTACTTGACAATGAATATCTTCCCCCCACCACCACATTTACCAGATGTTTCTGACAGGAATCTCTGAGCTCCTTCTGAGCATTCTCCAGTTGACTCTGCAAGCTTTGGGCTTTCTTCTTTTCCTTCTCCAGAAGCTGTCTGGTTAGTACAAGGGACTGGTTGGAAACTGACAATTCCTTGCTCAGGGCATCGGCTTCTTCTTGCTTCTTTGCCAAAAGTTGCGAAGTTTTTTTTCCAGTCTGGCCTATAACACTTTTGAGCTTCTGCATCTCCTTTTCCATCTTGGCCAGCTGCTTCCTCAGACTCAGGTTTTCCGCCTCCAGTTGGGAGATGTTGTGAAGCAGCTTGGCTTGGTCTTTAGGGCACTTGCAGTCAAGCTCTGGTGGGACCCGCGAGCAGTAAATGATCAATAAAGTAAGCACAATAACAATGACAGGGATGAGCCAAAAGTACTTTCTCACCCATGTCCTAAAGAAGTCCCAAAAACTGTGGTCTTTTAGATTCTCCGTGCACATGGAACACTGACGGCCTGTTAGGAATCCACCCATGTTTGTTGAAAGCTGAGACACACAGCAATTCTGGCTGCCTTTCCAAGATTCTGCTCTCCTTTAAATCTTGATTTCTAAGTGGCCCAATTAGCCCCCCCTCCTCCTCCTCCTCCTCCCCTTTTGGTGCATCATGATTTTGAAGAAGTAGCTCCAGCAATCAGATGAAACGAAAGTGATCTCTCAGCTCAGAGTTTTGTTTTGTTTTTTTAAAAAAAGGCCAGCAAAAAGCAGTTTTCTAAAATGATGCCCAGCTGGAAGAGAAACTACATTCAGAGAGATGGCTGTGGTTACGGCAGTGTATTTTCCCAGCCAAAGGGGAATTACAAGTTACAAATCAACCAAGTGTTTGAATCAACAAAACGATTTCAGTTTCCTTTTTTGTTTTGATTTCTGAGTCATGAAAGGCATAATCTGTGCATCAAGTGAACCATAGAAGCAGCAGCAGTGCTAATCAACCCCTGACAAGCATCCACCCATTATGGCCTGTCCTGCCCTTTGGTGCTTTGGAGAATAAATCAATACCCTCTTCCCTGTGACAGTTTTTCACGTATTGGAAGACAGCTATGATGTCACCTCTGAGCCCACTCTTTGGAGTCCCTGAAGGGCTGATACTTAAGTCTCTTTGATGGTATGAACACCCCATCATTTTGAAGAGAGCAAAGTCCACATTCTGGATAGAGAGGACCACTGATTTGGAAGAGGGGGTAAAAGAATCCATCTATGTTAAGAGTTGAGCAGCCCTCTCTCAACAGAGAGGGAGGAATAAGACACCACCTATTTCCAGTCTACAATGCAGCCCTTGCAGCATTTCCAAGAAGATTCCACAACTAATTGCACCCTGATTCAGCTAAACCCCCAAATAGCCTCAAGAGCTCTCAGGGAGAGTGAAAAGGACAAGATGGCTGCAAAGAAATACAATCCTTTCACACATACCCCATTTTTCCAGAACCTATCCTTCCATCCCCCCACCATCAAGTCTCAACTCAGGAAGCTTCTTGGATGAGAAACAAAACCTTATGTTTTTTTTTTTCTTCCTCCTCAAAAAAAGAACAGTCCAGCTGCCTTTTGAAAAAGCACCTTTGAGACAACCATGACTTGGATGATTGAGAATCTCCAGACACCCCATCACATACTCCACCCAGGGGAGACATCTTAGTTCCCTTTTCCATGCCGAGGGCCAGCAGGTCAAAACTTATAATGTACCATTGGGATAGATCCAGATCAGCCTGACTCTGTGCTATCCAGGCCCATCCCTGTCCTTTTTTCTCAGTTTCCAATCTCTCAACACAGTGTTTTTTTCAAAAGCAGGTTGTTCCCGATCTTTGAATTATTTCTTATTATCAGATTGGTAGTATAGGTTGAAAAAAGGCTTCACTTTTCATGATGTTTAGAACAAACTGGAGTTAGTATTTAATGACATTTCTGCAGCTTTCTTAAATCTTTGTTAAATTCTCCTTTAACCAGGGTAACCATCACCAAATAGCCCGAGCCTGCAAAGATGAAGTGAAGAAAGCCAAGGCTCAAAATGAACTAAGGCTTGCGACCAAAGTCAAAAATAACAAAAAAAGCTTCTTTCAACATGTAAAAAACAAGAAAAAAGTGAAGGAAATGATTGGTCCATTAGTGGGTGGAAGTGGCAAGAAGGTGACAAGCAACAGGGAGAAAGCAGAACTATTTAACTCATTTTTTGCATCTGTCTTTACACAAAGGGAAAAAACAGACCAACCTATCAAAAATACTGCCATAAAAAACAAAACAGAAACACAAGTTAAGATAGGCAAGAAAATGGTTAGGGAGCACCTGTCCAGCCTAGATGAGTTCAAATCGCCAAGACCAGATGGATTACACCCCAGAGTTCTCAAGGAACTGGCAGATGTGATATCGGAGCCACTGAACTATATTTTTCAAAGATCCTGGAACACAAGGGAACTACCAGAGGACTGGAAAAGAGCTGATGTAGTTCCCATCCTCAAAAAAGGAAAAAAAATGGATCCAGGAAACTACAGACCTATCAGCCTGACCTCAATACCTGGGAAGATCCTGGAAAAGATAATCAAACAACAAATCAACGAACACCTAGAGGCAAACAAAGTCATTACTAAAAGCCAACATGGGTTTGTCAAAAATAGATCATGCCAGACAAATCTTATTGCATTCTTTGACCAAGTGACAAAATTAGTGCATCAGAGGAATGCTGTGGACATAATTTACTTGGACTTCAGTAAGGCATTTGATAAAGTAGATCACAACCTACTACTTGACAAGATAGAAAAATGTGGGGTAGACAGAACCACCACCAGATGGATCCGTAGCTGGCTGACCGGCCGTACTCAGCGAGTGGTCCTCAATGGAACTGCATCTATATGGAGGGAAGTGTGTAGTGGGGTGCCCCAGGGCTCTGTTCTGGGCCCAGTACTCTTCAACATCTTCATCAACGATTTGGATGAAGGGATAGATGGGGAACTCATCAAATTTGCAGATGACACCAAGCTGGCAGGAATAGCCAACACTCCAGAAGACAGGCTTCAGGTACAGAAGGATCTGGACAGACTTGAACACTGGGCACTAACTAACAAAATGAAATTCAATGGTGAAAAAAGCAAGGTTCTACATTTAGGCAAGAAAAACCAAATGCACAAGTACAGCATAGGTGGCACCATGCTCAATAGTAGTAACTGTGAGAGGGACCTCGGAGTCCTAGTAGACAATCACTTAAATATGAGCCAGCAGTGTGCTGCAGCTGCCAAAAAGGCCAACACAGTGCTAGGCTGCATTAACAGAGGGATAGAATCAAGATCACGTGAAGTATTAATACCACTCTTCAATGCCTTGGTAAGGCCACACTTGGAATACTGCATCCAGTTTTGGTCACCACGATGTAAAAAAGATGTTGAGACTCTAGAAAGAGTACAGAGAAGAGCAACAAAGATGATTAGGGGACTGGAGGCTAAAACATATAAGGAACGGTTGCGAGAATTGGGTATGTCTAGTTTAACGAAGAGAAGGACAAGGGGGGACATGATAGCAGTATTCCAATATCTCAGGGGCTGCCATAAAGAAGAGGGAATTAAGCTATTTTCCAAAGCACCTGAAGGCAGGACAAGAAGCAACGGGTGGAAACTAATCAAGGAGAGAAGCAACCTAGAACTAAGGAGAAACTTCCTGACAGTGAGAACAATTAATCAGTGGAACAGCTTGCCTCCAGAAGCAGTAAATGCTCCAACACTGGAAGTTTTTAAGAAGAGACTGGACAGCCATTTGTCCGAAATGGTGTAGGGTTTCCTGCCCGAGCAGGGGGTTGGACTAGATGACCTCCAAGGTCCCTTCCAACTTTACTACTATTATTATTATTATATTTCCTGCAAAGCACAGAAAGGAAGTAAACATAGTAATCAAAAGAAATTAATAGCATGAGATATGAGGTAAAAGGGGGTTCAATTATATCTACTTTGTACCAAAACTGCTCTCTAAATCTGTTTTCTATCCTTGCAAACCCATCCTTGATTCCACTACATTTATATATACATTATGTATGAATGTTGTAAATACCACTTTACAATGCCTTGGTAAGGCCACACTTGTAATACTGCATCCAGTTTTGGTCACCACAATGTAGAAAAGATGTTGAGACTCTAGAAAGAGTACAGAGAAGAGCAAAAGATGATTAGGGGACTGAAGGCTAAAACATATAAGGAATGGTTGCTGGAATTGGGTATGTCCAGTTTAATGAAGAGAAGGACAAGGAGGGACAGGATAGCCGTGTCCCAATATCTCAGGGGCTGCCACAAAGAAGAGGAAGTCAAGCTATTCTCCAAAGCACCCGAGGGAAGGACAAGAAGTAACGGATGGAAACTAATCAAGGAGAGAAGCAACCTAGAACTAAGGAGAAACTTCCTGACAGTTAGAACAATTAATCAGTGGAACAATCTGCCTCCAGTTGTGGGTGCTCCAACACTGGAAGTTTTTAAGAAGAGACTGGACAGCCATTTTGTCTGAAATGGTATAGGGCAATGGTGCCATGCCTCGGAGATGGCAACTGTCCCTCTTCAACCAGCCGCCCGCTAACTTGCAGAGGTCCCACATGGCCGGATGCATCCCAGCACCCATGCGCTCGCTGGCCTCTGTGTGCAGGGGCCGATGGTGTCAGGCAGCAGCCGCCCCGGCCCCCGACTCACCTTGCCCTGTGACAATAGCACCCCCACCCTGCCTCCCCTTGTCCTCACGAGCCTCCTGCCCACCACCCACCTGCCAGAGACCCCCTGGATTTCCCCCAATCCTGTCCGGCCCTCACAGGTATCTCTCCCCACGAGCAACATTGAGCTGGCTACGCCCACCCTGGCCATGCCCCTCAATCTGCCATGACCACCACAGCCATGCCCACCCAGTGGGCCATGCCCACCTGGCACCCGGCAATAAATAAGTGGGTTTTGCGTTGCAGTTTGGGCACTCAGTCTCTAAAAGGTTTGCTATCACTGGTATAGGGCAGGGGTAGGCAACCTTGGCTACCCCTGGTATAGGGTCTCCTGCTTGAAAAGGGGTTGGAGTAATTATTATTATTTTATTGTTTAAATCAGGTTTTCCCAGCCTTGGCAACTTTAAGATGCATGGACTTCAACTCCCAGAATTCCCCAGCCAGCCATGCAACAAGCCATGTATTACAGATAGTCCTCGACTTATGAGCACAACTAAGCCCAAATTTTCTGTTGCTAAGTGAAACAGTTGTTAAGTGAGTTTGGCCCACTTTATGACCTTTCTTGCCACAGTTGTGGATCACTTTAGTTGTTAAGTTAGTAACATGAGTGTTAAGTGAATCTGGCTTCCTTGTTGACTTTGTATCATGGTTCTGATAGATGAAACTCTTCAAAAGAAGGAGGCATTGTTTACCTTAAAGAATCTTTTATTCGAGAAACAAAGTATCAGCACTACATAGTTGAAACCAAAAACTAAATTCCCCTCTCCTGGATACAAAGTAACAAAGTGCAAACCCTTCCTCCAATAAACAGTCATAAATCACATTACCCAATTAGTCTGAAGCACAGGCTTTCTCCCCAGCTCTCCAAAACAGTATCAGCTCTGGGCCCAATGTCCTTGGGTTCCCACAATTAAGTTATTATTGTTATGACTAGCTGGACACTCATCCCTATTCCCCCTCCCAGCAGCAACTAATTCTAAAAGCAATAGAGAAAATGGCTGCATTTCCATCTGTTGTCAAAGCAAGAACATTCGCTGTTGATACTTTGTTTGTCAGATATTTGCAATTAACCCCAGGACACTGTTATAAATACTGGTATAAGCCAGTTGCCAAGCAGCTGAAGTTTGATCACATGACCGTTGGGATCCCCTGGTAACAGTGCTCATGTCAAGGATGAAACTTCGGCAGCTACATGCCTGTTTCAACTTGCCTTTAGATCAGTGGTTCTCAACCTGTGGGTCGGGACCCCATTTGGGGTCGAATGACCATTTCACGGGGGTCGCCAAACGCAGTCTGCCATTCCCCCCCCTTTTCCTTAGCTGTGCTACTCCCTTTTATTCTATTGGCTTTTGAAAGCCAATAGAATAGACTCTCTTGAATAGAGTCTAATTCTATTGGCTTTCAAAAGCCAATAGGAATTGTCTAGGCTCTCTCTGCCCTGCTGAGCCTGCCAAAAGTCCCATTCTGCAAACGGGTGCTGCACCAGTTGAGTAGCCCTCGACTTACGACCGGTTGGGGGGGTCGCAGCATTAAAAAGGTTGAGAACCACTGCTTTAGATTAAGGGACAGGGAAGTGTTACTTTCAAGTGGGTAGATGGAGAAACTAAACTTCTTAGATTCAGCTGCAGACCGTAAGAGCTTGAAGCCAAGGACACCAGAACAGGTGTGGATTTGAAGCAGACAGTTCCCATAACAAATTGGACTTGTTGACATGGATTATGTAAGATGTTGAGAGTTTGACTGGGGAAACTAAAGTTTAAGTCTATGAGTTGGTGATGGAACCTCAGAGTTAGTTTTGCTTCGACATAACCAAGCTGTGTATTCAATAAACAGTAAGCTTTTTGGAAACGAACCTGGAGTTTTATTTGGATTCATAAGTCACTTTTTTCAGTGCTGTTGTAACTTCGGTCACTAAATGGATAGTTATAAGTCACTGAACTTGCTACTTTTCTTTCAGCATTTGAACATTTTAAAATATCTAAATCTGTTTTCCCAGCATAAAAGGGGAAAAAAGGAACATAATTTCCAATTAAGTTCCTGGTGAGAGGAACAGCTCAGAAGAACTCAAGTCAGACACGTCAGTGAAGCAGCAAAACAAAAAGCTTCATTTTACGTTCTTACAAGAGCGGGTGACCTGCAAGTAGGCACACCCAAGTATTAAAATGGTTACATATTTATTCCCTTTTCCCGGAGCTGGGTATTACAAGGTGTACAGCCTATCCGAAGTGCCTAAGTGTTAAGTCCTTCCAATAATGGCGAATGATGAAGACACATCTTGTAAGGAACAACTCTTTATTTCGTTTTCAGCCAAAACACCAACAACAAGCAAAAGCACGCAGGCCTCTTTTTATATGACCAGATCCCCTGACACAATGTCAACAGGCACTTTTCGCACCTTGCGCATGTGCGCAAAGACGGCGCCACTCAGTCTGGTCCCAGGCAGCTTCTGCAATGCCCGGGACCATTGTAACATCCCAAGCCTGCATATGCAGGCTCAAGACACAACACCAAGCATCTCACGTGCATCTCCACCTCTGTTTAAATCTTCCACTATCATGCTTTAAGCGCCCCTAGCCCTATTTACTTGTTTTGTTATATAGCATAACTATACAAGATTATTTCCTTGCCTGCTTGATTGTTTTAACCACAATTCTGGTTTTGATTAGAATTATCTGTTTACTCAACCAGATGTTCTTTGATTCTTATGTGCTACTTTTAACTCATTTCCTGTCCTAAGCGTGCATAACTACTAAACTACAAAAAACAACATATAATATTTTCTTACGTTGGTTAGCCAATATTTTAATATATTCTACTTCAGAACTCTAAGAAAGGTTACTAAAGCAACCTCTTAATAAGGAATTAAATCTGAATTCCTTCTTCTTGGGGAGTTGAAGCTTCTATCAACTTTCCACATTTTCAGGCATGTGTTTATATGTATTTATGTGCTTGTTGGTTTTCTTCCCACCATGACTAGAGTTAACAGAGGTTGAAACTGAGACCTTCTGCATGATCAGAGTATCTTGGTCTTCTGAACATTAACACGAGAAGCCACCAAACTGAAGGGACCTTATTGTATTTGGTTTTATTATGTTTATGATTTTATTACATTTAAGTTTGATATTAGTAGTGTTAGTTTGTAGCCATTTTATATAGATTTGCTCACATGCAAGCAACCTTACAAGTGCTTCATATCAGGAAATTATTTACATAAAAGCAAGTGTTTCATATATATTGAAAAAGCAATGTCTCATGTCAAATATATAGGAGATTGCTCAGGAGACTACTTACATGAAAAGAGCAAAATAAGTCCAGTGGTCCAAGAAATAAGGAGGAGGGAGAGCGAAATGAGTTATGGTTGGAACCTAGATTGATGTATATGAGTCATCATCTTGAAATTTGTTTTTCTGTGCTTCCTTGCCCCTAGTACAGAGACCTGGATCTCTTTGTTCTGAAAGAGTATACAAGGTAGAAGAAATCTCTAATGGGTGTGCCTTCGTCCCTCTAAGCAGCCACAAAGAGGGAGAAGGTTACCCAACTCTATCTTGGCCAAAATAAAGTTGTTTTCTTTGCTGGAACCTCAGCTCAGGAGTTTCTTTTGGCTCTTTGAAATTTCTGAGTAGCGCAGAGACAGTTTGTGAAGTTAAGTGCAAAAACCTTACAAAACCATCAGAAAGCAAAAAAAGTTGTCCCAATTTGACATTCACCCGGTACAGGTTATTAACATAAACAAAAGTTAACTTTATTTGCCAAATTTGATGTAACAGTTGGTGCAATGTTATGCAAGCTTTGGCAACTCCACTGCTGTGCCCAAGATTTGAATTATCACAGTAGATAAACATCCAAGTCTGGCATCAGAATCAGGTTCCTGTCCTGAAGAAGGGATATGGTTATGCAGATGAAGTAGGGTGAGGCTTGACACTTGCCCACCCCACCCCAACTTGACCAGAGTCCAAATGGATTAGACGAGGAATCTAGCAAGGACAAGTGGGAGAAGGACCACAGAAGGCCCAAGGAGAAGGCCTCCCTCTGAGCGCTCAACAGGTTTATGTTTCATGAGCTGATCCTCCAGGTGCTGAATTGCCTTTCTGGGGAAAGAGAACATTGTCTCATTAGAAGAGTATTTTTTGAACATTTGCACTCAAGACCATTTTCCGCTTTTAAAAATTATGGAGGGCTCCAAAAGAGCTTTTGTTTGGATGGGCTATAGTCACCAATATTTACCGTATTAAAAATTAAAATACATGTATTTCCAGAATATTTACTTATTGAGTCATGTATAATATTTACTGATTGAGTCATGTATAAAGAACAATGTAAAATCTATTAGATATTAACAAAAATATTTTTTCATGATAAAAACTATTTTTAATAATACAAAATAATAGTGAGAAAATGACAGTGTTTTAATTTTTTGCAAATATTCACAATATCTGGCAAATAATTTTGAATTTGTGGACACCTGAGAGGGTCTTTAAATTTATGATTGCCAATTTATGCAGACTGTAGTAAGTAACAGATTAACAGGTAAATGGAATGGTGATCAGGCTATTCAAGAAAGTTAGCCATGATAGCCAAGAAAGGAACTTACCCATCTGGAGATAATCTACCTCTAAATACCTGAGGTGGTAGAACAGAGGTATCAAACTGATGGCCTGCAGGATGTGTCACACACAGGCCACGCCCACCCTGACTCCACAAATGCAAAAAACGTCGCGATACGTCAGGTGACACAATCGAGTTTGACACCAGTGTTATAGAGAGAACCAGGAGAGGAACATCCCCTTCTTACCTGGTTCTACATTTCCTGGAATCATCCAGTTGTTTACTTGAGAATTTCCAGCAGGGAAATTCTTCAAAATTTAAAGGTGAATATATAGAATCGTAATTTTGTGTACTTACTGTTGTTGTTCCTTCATCTGTTGTAAGTTGGAGAGTTGTTGCTTAAACTGTTTAATCTCCTCTAAAGAAAGGAACCAAGAGTCACAAATTATCTTCTTGTTCTTAAACTAGGTTTATATTGCAGCGACTTTCCTCACTCTCTGCAATTTCTTTCTTTTATATTCACGCATAATTTAAGAGGTTTTTTTTGATATTATTGAAAGGTTGGTCTTAAATGCTGCCCCTCCAAACTTTCACACAGCATGTGTGAAAGTACCATAGTGCCCCTTAAGCATCTGATAAATTGATCCAGTGATTAGAGATCTGAAGAGATGTAATTCAGCTTTGGTGCCCCCAAAGTCAAGTGATACTGGAGCCTCTTCAAATTATCATCAAGATAGAATGGGTAAAAATCAGACTACAGTTCCATAAAAAAGAGGGGTTTAACTCTTAGATCATTTCTGATTTTCCAGGTACATCAAGGGCAACCAAACTAGGGTTCTGACTTTGATTGGGGATAGATGGGGAACTCATCAAATTTGCAGACAACACCAAGCTGGCAGGAATAGCCAACACTCCAGAAGACAGGCTTCAGATACAGGAGGACCTGGACAGACTTGAACACTGGGCACTATCTAACAAAATGAAATTCAATGGTGAAGAAAGTAAGGTTCTACATTTAGGCAAGAAAAACCAAATGCACAGGTATAGGATAGGGGATACCTTGCTCAATAGTAGTAACTGTGAGAGGGATCTCGGAGTCCTAGTGGACAATCACTTAAACATGATTGTGTGCTGCAGCTGCCAAAAAAGCCAACACAGTGCTAGGCTGCATTAACAAAGGGATAGAATCAAGATCACGTGAAGTGTTAATACTACTTTACAATGCCTTGGTAAGGCCACACTTGGAATACTGCATCCAGTTTGGGTCACCACAATGTAAAAAAGATGTTGAGACTCTAGAAAGAGTACAGAGAAGAGCAACAAAGATGATTAGGGGACTGGAGGCTAAAACACATAAGAAACGGTTGCTGGAATTGGGTATGTCTAGTTTAATGAAGAGAAGGACGAGGGGGAACATGATAGCAGTGTTCCAATATCTCAGGGGCTGCCACAAAGAAGAGGGAGTCAAGCTATTCTCCAAAGCGTCTGAAGGCAGGACAGGAAGCAACGGATGGAAACTAACCAAGGAGAGAAACAACCTAGAACTAAGGAGAAACTTCACAATTAACCAGTGGAACAACCTGCCTCCAGAAGCGGTGAATGCTCCAACACTGGAAGTTTTTAAGAAGAAACTGGACAGCCATTTGTCCAAAATGGTATAGGATTTCCTGCCTGAGCAGGGTGTTGGACTAGATGACCTCTAAGGTCCCTTCCAACTTTATCATTATTATTATTATTGTCCAAGAAAAGTCAGTCTCCCTAAACGGATTCTATAAGACTAGAATTGCAAAAAGGAGTTTATTGGAGAAAGGGAAATAAAGGGAAAACAAGTGGAGGCTGCAACTGCACAGACACACAAAATTCGTATTAAAGTATAAACCATCAGCTAAGCTAAACTAGTTACTGTGGGGTCCTTGGTGTCCTCTAAGCTTGGTTGTTTTCTTGCAGACGTTTCATTACCCAGCTATGTAACATCATCAGTGCAAATGATGTTATCTAGATGGGTAATGAAACATCTTCAAGAAAAGAAGCTCAGAGAGCACCAAAGATCCCACAGATCAACCCTGAATTATAAATATTCTCTTCTATTGAAACTAGTTACTACTGTATCTCCTTGATTAAGCTCTTATGTTTCACTGGGAGATCATAGGAGAGAGGGAGATTTTGAACTCTGGCTTGGATATTCACAGGCCAATGTCTGTCCCTACCTTGTTAATTGTTCCTATTTTCTGAATGTTTTTGTAGGCATAAGCTAAGCATGCTATAGGGCCTTGCAGTTCAAAGGGATCTCTTAATTCTTTATTTCATTTGTCACAATTTTTATTATAATTTCATCTATGAAAATCCAATCTGACAGGCTCTCATGACCCTCACTAATGGATTAAAATCTGCTTTGCTTCTGCATGCATTCCTACCATTTCTTCAAATAGGGCTGTTCTATATGCTGTTATGGATTTGTTGTGCATCTTGGCAGTATTTTTGCCAAACATGGTTGCCCCACAGCTTTATTCTCTGTTAGCATTTGCCAAATAGAGCCTCTAGTTTCCATAATTTAGGACACTGCCCTGTCTAAGTAACTGCAGCCTCCTCTTATTTTCCTTATATTTTCCTTTCTCCAATAAATTTCTTTCTTTTTTTTTTAGATCTAGACATGTTTTCATTGGTTTTATAAGACAATTTCTCATTAAAACTTTCCCTATATGCACAGGGGTTATGTTGCTACTCCTTCTGTTTCAGGAATGGCACTAATTAAAGTTTCCAAAATTTAAAAAAGTGAAAAATTCTCCAGTTGGACAGCCTAAAAAGTGACACACTACCATTATTCTTATTGGAGCACCCTTGGGAGTCCCTTCACTAAATTTTAAATTATTAATTCCCCACAAAAGTGGGGGAAGTTTCCAACAACTTTTAATGGGGCAGATCAGCAAATTCCCCAAACCTAGGGTGGTAAATCAGCTTCATCACTATGGTTCTTAAGAGTTTTAAAAATCTAAGCACCTCCCCTTTATAGAGGGTTCTGCAATGGGGCTCAGAAACAGCATAATGGCAACCCTCATTATCCAATTGAAACCCCATTCTTCATTTCTAATACTTCCCACATTAGGGTACTGTATACAATCTTCAGAATGTTAAAACTAAAATCAGGGTTTAATGAGGTGAAGGGAAGGTAGCTTGCAGCTATATCTTCTCCATTGTCTAAAACAGTGTTGATGAATTTGGTCTTCGTATTTTGTTAGCATTTGCCAAATAGAGCCTCTAGTTTCCATAATTTAGCACATTGCCCTGTCTAAGTACTTGCAGCCTCCTCTTGTTTTCCCTATATTTTCCTTTCTCCAATAAATTACTCTTTTTTTTAGATCTGGACATCTGTTTTCATTGGTTTTATAAGACAATTTCTCATTAAAACTTTCCCTACATGCACCAGCAATGGTGCCAATTCAGGAAATAAAATGATTTCCAGACTAGCAATAGCACTTAAGATTTATATACTGCTTCATAGTGCTTTACATCCCTCTCTAAGCAGTTTATAGGGTCAGCTTATTGCGCCCAACAACCTGGATCCTCATTTTACCCACCTCAGAAGGATAGAAGGAGGAGTCAACCTTGAGCTGGTGAGGATCAAACTCCTCTCAGTCAGCAGAATTAGCCCGCAATACTACATTCTAACCACTGCACTACCTCTGCTGTAATGTCTTTTGTGACTCAAAGTATTGATGAGAATGTCACTTGGGGGCAATCAAATTGTGTTCTAAGCAGGGACAAAGCTTTCCCCATTGTCTTAATTTACTATCTACAGTAGGACAGTGATGGCGAACCTTTTAGAGACAGAGTGCCCAAACTGCAACCCAAAACCCACTTATGCATCGTCGGGTGCCGGTTGGGTGTGGCCCATTGGGTGGGTGTGGGACAAAAAGTTCAATCAATCAATTCCAATTTTGCGAGATCTTTTTTTTCCCTGTGAGAAGTTGAAATTGAGTGATTGATTGCCTAGGACTGGGGCGGCGGCACGCGTGCCCACAGAGAGGGCTCTGAGTGCCGCCTCTGGCACCCATGCCATAGGTTCGCCACCACTGATCTAGGAGTTCTCTTCCAAAATTCAATCTATTATCATCCACCCTGGTCCATCTCACCTTCAGCAACTTTGCTTTTCTCCATTTCTCGCTGGACAGCTTCCTTCACTTGGGATGTGGCATTCTTTTCCAAACTTTTCTAGATGGAGACCAGAAGGAAAGGCATCTGTCAACATTGTTGTGTTGAACCTTCTTTTTAAGATGTGACTACTGTCCTAAAGTCTCTTGATGTGTCAGAAGAACAGAATCATGCAAGCCACAAGTCCCTGTGACAGTCTACAGGAGCAAATTTGGGAGTTTGCAGAAACAAGAGAGAAACAGCATTGACACTTTTGAACTCATACTAGAAGCCTCAAAATCTTCCCTCTTAAGAGGGGCTTCTATAGTTTATAGAGGCTATAAATCACTGATGGCGGAAACCCCCCCTCCTCCGATTCCCATCCAGCCTGCTCTGCCCCCACTCACCCCCTGCCCCGCCCTCCCGCAGGGCCACACACGCCTCCATGGCCCACCACAGCAGATCGCCCAGGCAGTCCTGCAGTGCCATGGCAGCCACGCCCATATCCCGCAGCATCATCTGCATGCTGGGCACGAGGGCAGAGTCTTGTCCCTGCTGCCCAGCTGCTCTGTGTGGTCCGGGGCGACTCTCCTCCAGGGGGGCTGCTGGGGAGGAGGGGGCCACGGGAGGAGGCGGGGCTGGGGCGACTGGCATGTGCACACGTGCCATAGGTTCGCCAACACTGCTATAAATCATACTGATGAGAGGAAACCTCATGTAATCAATGGAAACCAGTTGCATAGCGCCTCCTCCTGCTCAATAGTATGTATAGCACAATGGTAATCCTCTTAAATTTATTTCGAATGTCTTTGGAGATTCTCAATCATTCAGGTCATGGTTCTCAAAGGTGCGTTTTCCAAAGGCAACTGGACTTCCTTTGTTATTGTTTTTCCTTGAAGACATCTTTAAGGAAAAACAAAGAAAGCCCAGTTGCCTTTTGAAAAAGCACCTTGAGACAGTCTAAGTATTTTCATTCTTGGAATTCTAAATGAGAAAATGGCCTGATAGTCTTCTCAGGAAGTTATTACACGCTACATGCCTGGCAGAGCTGGTTTTCCAGAGTCTATGAGGATAGCTGAAGATTCACTTCAAAAAAAGTGAAATATCTGTTCAGGAAAAGTGTGTGTGTGTGTGTGTGTGTGTGTGTGTGTGTGTGTGTGTGTGTGTGACAAGAGGGATTTTTTTCAAATACCAAGAGGCCCAGAGATTGTTTACTTGACCTTCCCTCCCACATATGCTTGTTCTCCCTGCCATGACTGAGTCAGTATAATTAATTTCACCATTGTTTTAAGCCTACTGAAGTTTGTACCAGGAACATTTTGAGAAACTCAAATTGCTCTCCTACATTTTTGGATGTATGCTTGATCTATCTATCTATCTATCTATCTATCTATCTATCTATCTATCTATCTATCTATCTATCTATCTATCCATCCATCCATCCATCCATCCATCCATCTGCTTTCATTAATTTTCTAACATTTCTAGCTTATCTCAATTCTAGAGAATTCTTGATGGTGCACAAGGAAACTAAAATGAAAAAGAGAGAGAAAAAAATCAAACCATTATAAAAACAATCACTTATGACAAATAAAATAGGTTTTGTTACCTTGAATGGATTTTTTCTCAATCCATTTTACCATTTAAAGTTGTCTAGCAGAGAGCTTCCTTTTGTGGCAAGATTCCCCAATTACTTTCATGGCCTCAAGTCAGAAAAATAAGCTATCATCTAGCAGATTGAAAGAATCTCAGATTGGAGGTATCTGCTTTGTGCTCAAGAGTTTCCTTTATGTTTGTTCTTAGATTATTAACTTAACCAACAACCTAAGTCTACAGTCAACAATTTACAACTGACAACTGGAGATAAGCATTGTTTATTGTTAATCATTTTATTAGGTTCAGCAGTTAGATTAATGTTACTGCTTTTGTCAAGTGAAATCCTTTCCATTTTTATTTAGTTCTTACAATTTGTGTTATCCTTTTTGCAAATTAACGTAGCCATTAAAAAGTACTTACAATATAGAGACCGAGACAGATGGCAAATATTGGAAACTTATTTGCCAGAAATTTTAATCAGTAAAATCTTAAATACATAATTTCATTATTTTTGTTGTCTTTTTAAAATTCCTGCCAACAAACTAGTTGCCTGAAATGATTCATCTAAAAGGAGGGCCAGCCATTTTTAAATCAAGTATTGTAATAATCAAAAATAATATTAAGTTTATTCAATTAATAAAAGTTTCAAACTAGCCTACAGGATTAAAACATCATGGGGGAAAATGCGAATATTATAGGAAACCAAGGAAGGGCAAAAGGAGATAAATCAGTTCCAGGCAGTCATCATCTATCAAGCTTTCCTGTTTTGACTTTTGCAGTTTTCCTTGCATGGATCCTTGGCCTGATTATGCCTGATTATCAACTCATAAGATAGAAGCCTAGAGGTTATGCCAGAATTAGATAACCTGGTACCCTCCAGATGTTTTCAACTACAAGCCGTAGCCAGCAGGCCAAATCTAACCATTGTTACTGAAAATAATCAGAGAGAACAACTGAAAATTGGAAAACCTACATATACTTAATTTTCTTGATGGGGGGGGCAGGCACACATTATTAGCCTGATCTATTTCATGGGGGAGGGATGTGTGTGCATGTCAAATACAGGGAGATGGGGGGGGTTATGTGTTGTTGGCTGGACCGCCATCTTGTTCTTATTGTTATTTTACTTTTTTTAATTATTCATATTCTATTTTATTGTTTGTTATACTATGACTCACCCAAAATTGTCTGGACTGTCTAGGGCGGCTCCTAAATTAAACAAGTCAAATCATATCTAGGAAAGGCTCCTAAATTAATCAAACCAAGCCAACGTAATAAAATAAACTACGGCTTAATACTGGTGAGGGGGAAAAAAAGTACATCCCCAACCTGTTAACAGGGTCACGTTAGAATTTGATGGTGGTGATGGTGGTGGTGGTGGTGGTGGTGGTGGTGGTAGTAGTAGTAGTAGTAGTAGTAGTAGTAGTAGTAGTAGTAAAAAGACTGCTTTACCAGTTGTTCCTGACAGGAGCCCCAGTCCTCTCTAGTCTTCTCCAGGCTCCGGTTAGCGACTGCCAGTTCGGCTCGCAGCCCGTCTCTTTCGGCCCTCGCCTTCTCCAGGTCACTATCCGTCTCCTCCACGCGCTTCCCCAGGAAGTCGAGGCTAGCCCGCATGTGGGAAGTTCGGTTCTGCAGCTCCACTTGGCATTCCTTCACCTGCCTGACCGGATCCGAATAGAGGGACGACAGGTACAAACTCAGAAAAACGAGGAATATGAGGGAAGGGAGGGCAACGAGCACCCCGCAGCAAATCCTATATTTCATGCCCGTGTAACAAGTCGCCCCCTTTTTGTCAGCCTGCATTTTCTCCTTCGGGGACAGGGGCCCGCAGACGTCGGGGATCTGTTTACCCATCGGGAAGAAATCCAGCCAAACGCTTCGCCGCCCGCTTCTCTCTCCGGTGCGCACACCGCACCGTTTGGCGCCAGAGGAGACGCGTCAAAGCCCAGCCGAAGCGGAATCGAAAGTGAGAGAACCACATTCCGAGGCGGGGGAAAGCGATTGGATGTCGAGGGAGGGAAAGGGGGGAGGTGCCTGGGCGAGAGGGCGATTGTTCCCCCTTGGAGATGGGCCAGCTGGTGCTGCTGAGGTTTTGGCACCGCAATGGCCAATTTCCCCAACCTTGCCCTGTGAGCCGGCATATAGCATAGTCCAAAAGTCTGTGGAGATTCTCAGTCACCCCGGTCATGGTTATCCCAAAGATGCTTTTTCACGAGGCAACTGGACTTTCTTGTTTCTCCTTTGAAGATGTTTTACTTCTCATCCAAGATGCTTCTTCAACTCTCACATGCACTAAATGGCTATGGAGATTCTCAGTCATTCAGGGCACAGTTGTCCCAAACATGCTTTTTCACGAGGCAGCTGAAGAAGCTTCTTGGATGAGAAGCGAAACGTCTTCAAAGGAAAAACAAGAAAGTCCAGTTGCCTCATGAAAAAGCATCTTTGGGACAACTAGTCCAAAAGATTCAGGGGCACCACAACTGCGCCTCAGAGTTAAATCTGATTTCCTGGGGGTCAGTCCAAAAGTATTGAGCAGGCCTATAATTTAGGATGGAAAGTGGGAAGGACAGGTTGAAGGGTCTTTTGGCCAGAAGAGTCTGGGCCAAACTTACTCCAAACGTCTTGAAGCAAATGACTTTCCTAAAAATCAAAATCATTTTTTTTAAAAGAAGTACAAGAAGTAGACACAATATTCTTTGTTGGTCTTCTCTGCACTCTTTTTAGAGTCTCAAAATCTTCTTTTATATCATGGTGACCAAAACTGGATGCAATATTTCAAGTGTCGTCTTACCAAGGCATTGTAAAGCGGTACTTCATGTGATCTTGATTCTATCCCTCTGTTAACACAGCCTAGGACTGTGTTGGCTTTTCTATCACTCAACCATATTTCTAACATGGAGTGCCTCTGGGGGGCTCCAGCCAACCAGCAGATCTTTCTGTAATCTCAGAAAGATCAGATCCTTTATCTGGCCTGTGGGCCCAATAAACAACACTAAAAAAGGTGGAAAGGATTAAGACTTTTATTTGCAAATAAAAAGTTGCCCAGAAGCAGGTTCCACCTCTTTTGCAATGAACCTCTTTGATACAATTTTTAACAGTGTACATTTCACTATAAACCAATCATGAAAAACAATGTCATGCATGCATTCTCAGTAGCCATAGTAACATAGTTCAACTAAAGGTTAGAAGGTATACTAAATCTTTTCCGTTATCAATAACTAACATTCCTTGGCACATCAATACCATGGTGTTACCTATCACCTTAACAAGCAAGCATTCCTAAATAAAAAGACAGATGGTCTGGTTTTCCTCTCCTGCTATTGCATCTGCCTAACGGCAAGTTAATCAGCAGTTAAGGGACTACTATAGATACAAAATGCCATAGCTGTAGCTGTGGGCTAAATAATAAGCAATACATGAATTGAAATAGTTTATTAATACATAGATATGGTTTATCAATATTCATAGATACATAAACTATCAAATAATAGTTTATTAATTCATAAAAATATGGATTAAAATGGATTAAAACAAGCCATCTCATCAACTAGATAAAATACCTTACAGAAGTCAAAGTATACTGGGTCTACTGCGATCCCAACATCAGCAGTTAAAGAATCATTTTATCAAAAAAGGAGATCATAGCTTGATGTTGCATGTTGGAAATCCACTTACATTTGGCGTGAACTGGGTGTTTTTTTTCTGACTACTTCTGGTCCCTTTTTTTCCTTTTTCAAAAAAATTAGTGGTGAACTATAACAAGCTATACACAAGCAACAGCAACAAAATGTATCAGTGTTTGTATAATTTTAAAAATTAAAGTTCTAATCGAGATTAAAATAAGGTAAACATAAAAGAAAAGGAAACTAATAAAAATAGAACACATATTTTAATATAAGATTAATTCCATGGAATTCTATGAAATCATAGAGCTGAAAGAGATTCAGAGGCCTTTTAATCCAACCCTCTGCTCAAGGCAGGAGGCTTATACCAGCCCAGTCAAATGGTTGAATAATCTTTTTTTGAAAACCTGCAGTCATAGGGGTCTAGGACAGGGGTAGGCAACCTTAGCAACCTTTTATGACTTGTGGACTTCAACTCCCAGAATTCCTGAGCCAGCATGGCTCACCTTGGAAACCTCTCCCTTTCCCCTCAGCATGGCTGGCTCAGGAATTCTGGGAGTTGAAGTCCACCAGTCATAAAAGAGCCAAGGTTGCCTACCCCTGGTCTAGGACAACTCGCCACAGCCAACTCACTGCTGCCAATTCACCACAGCCAACTTGCTGCAGGACAACTAGTTGCAGGGCAAAAGTTACTTAATATCGAGGAAATGGTGAAATAAAATCATTCAAGAAAAGATGCAAAAGGGGAGACAGAATAAAATGTGAATGACAAAAATTAAAATAATTTTTAATTATTTTAATTAAAATCATTGAATTGTCCTGCAACAAGTGAGCTGTAGTGAATTGGCAGTGGTGATTTGACCACGGCACGCACAACCCTAGGAGGAAAGCTGTTCCATTGATTAATTGGTCTCACTGTCAGAAAATTTCTTCTTTCTTCTAAGTTGAATCTCTCTTTAACACGCTTTCACCCATTACTTCTTGTTCTTCCCTCTGGTGTGTTACAGCAGGGGTCCTCAATCCCCAGACCACAGACCACTACAGGGCTGTGACCAGTTTGGAAGTGGGCCACATGAGCTGCTGACCGGCAGACACCCGCATGCATGCACACAGCGCAACTTGTGCGAGCATCGGGCTGCTTTCATGGGCCAGTTCTCCTCTCCCCCTCCTCGCAGGGCTGCCAAGCCATAAAGGTTGGGGACCACTGCATTACAGAATAAGGGAATCCCCTCTTCTCTGTGACAGCCCTGAACTATGGAAGACAGTTATCATGGCATCCTAATCCTTCTCTTTGATAGGTTAGACATACCTAGCTCCTTCAACCATCTGCATACGATTTAGCTTCCAGATCCTTTGTCAACTTTGTTGTTCTTCTCTGCACACCTTCCAGGGTCTCAACATCTTTTTTGGATTGTGGTAACCAGAACCAGACTTGGTATTCCAAGTGTGGTCTCATCCGCATGGTGTAAAAGAGGTACTGTCACTTCTTATTGTCTTGTCACTATCCCTCTGTTGATGCAGCCAGGACTGCATTGGTTTTTTGGGGAAGTTGCAGCACACTGCTGGCTCATATTTAAGTGGTGGTCCACTAGGTAGGACACCTACATCCCATTACTACTGTTGAGCCAGGTACCACTTATTCTCTACCTATATATTTGGTTTTTCCTGCCTAAGTGCAGGATCTCACTTTTCCCACCACTGAACTGCATCTAGTTGGACAGGGTCCAATGCTCAAATCTATCAAAATCCTTCTGAATCTTGAGTCTATTTTCCAAAGTGTTGGCTATTCCTGCCAGCTTGGTGTCATCTGCAAATTTGATGAGTTCCCCTTCTATCCTCTCATTCTAGATCATTTATGAAGATATTGATGAGCACTGGGCTCAAGACCAATCCTTGAGGTATCCCACTGCATGCTTCCCTCTATGTCAGGGATCTTCAAACTTGGCCCTTTTATTACTTGTGGATTTCAACTCCCAGAATTCCTCAGCCAGCGTGGCAAGTCATAAAAGGGCCAAGTTTGAAGATCCCTGCTCTATGTAGATGTAGTTCCATTGAGGACCACCTGCTGAGTGCAGTTGGTTGGTCAATTGCAAATCCGTCTGGTGGTGGTACTGTTTATCCTACATTTTTCTATCTTATCAAGAAGTAGATTGTGGTCTACTTTATCAGATCCAAGTATACTATGTCCAAAGCATTTCCCTGATCCTCTAATTTAGTTACTTTGTCAAAAAAAAGGCAATAAGGTTTGTCTAGCATGATCTGTTTTTAACAAGCTTGTTAAAGCCTTAACAAACAAACTCAACCTTGTTTGTTTCTAGGTGGTTACAAATCCCTCTTTTCTGGGATTTCCCCAAGTATTGATGTCAAGCTGATTGGCCTATATTTCTTGAATCCATTTTTCTCCTTTTTTGTAGATTGGACCCACATTAGCTCTTTTCCAATCCTCTGGTATTTCTCCTGTGCTGCATGAGTTTTGAAAGATTGCATTCAACGGCTCCAAAATTACATCTGCCAGCTCCTTCAAAACCCTGGGATGTAAACTGTCTGGCCCAGGTGATCTGTATTCAACCAAGGTGGACAGATATTCTCTTACAAATTCCTTACCTATTTTGACTTGTATACAGTGATGGGATTCAGCCAGTTCGCACCACTTCGGCAGAACCGGTAGCTAATTTTTTGTTGCCCAGGCCCAGAATGGACTTCCGGAAGTGGCATCCACACAAAGAACTGGCTGCTCACATATTTGAATCCCACCACTGCTTGTATACCTCTACTATCTCCCTCTGTTCTGCTTTGGATAAGTTGAGCTGCTTTTTCCTTTTACATAAAAATAGATGAAAAGGAATTGAGCAGTTCTGCTTTCTCCCAGCCGCCTGTCACCAGTCATCTTCTGGCCATCTGCTCCCATTAGTGGACCTATCATTTCCTTGACTTTTTTCTTGTTTATATTGCAAGAAATATCTTGAATTATTTTTGGCATTGGTTGCTACCGTAGTTTTAGCTCATTCTGAGCCTTAGCTTTCCTGATTTCCTCCTTGCACATTCAGGCTGTTTGTGGGTATTCTGCTTTAGTTAAGTATCCATTTTTTATTTGATCTTTTTGTCCCTCAATTTATCAGAGAGCTCTTTGTGCAACCATGCTGGTCTCGTCTGATGTCTTTAGTTTTTCTTTCTCTTGTTTTTGATTGGGCTTTCATTATCTCATTTTTCAGGGATTTCCAAGTGTCTGGAACTGTTTTTCATTTTAGGATATCCATCCATGGAGCTTTTTTTGTCTGTCTCGGAGCTTGTTGAAGTCAGCTTTCTTAAAGTCTAAAACACTAATTTGACTTCGTTTAGTTACCTGTGGTTGCATTAC